CAGAATCCCCCGCATGTACTAAAAACTTTTGTTGCTAATCGAGTGTTGCAGATCCAAGAGCTAACACATACATGCCAGTGGAATTATGTGCGTTCAGAGGAGAACCCAGCAGACCTTATTTCCCGAGGACTGAATTTTGACAAAGCTGCATGATGCTGATCTGTGGTGGAAAGGTCCTCCATTCTTGAGTGAGGGTGTCATACCTAACAAGAACATTGACTTTGAACAATTAGAAAAAACAGAGACATTTTCTAATGAACTGAGAAAAAGAACTGACATTGCTTGTTTATGCACTTTGCCTTCAAAATTTATTGATAATGTCCTAGATATCACTAACAATTATTTAAAATTATTACGTATTGTTAGTTATATTTTCAGGTTCATTTGGAACTCTAGGTGTGCAAAACAGAAAGGAGCACAGAGAAGAACAGGAGGAGTAAGTTCAAAGGAGTTAAATGAGGCAGAATCCTTTTTAGTAAGAGAGGTTCAAAAATGTAGTTTTTATTCAGATTACAACTCCCTCGCACAAGGTAAACCCATTAATAATAAAAGTAATTTACTTTCTTTGAACCCTTTTTTGGATGCAAATAATGTAATGAGAGTAGGAGGCCGATTACAAGGGGCCAATGTAATGTTTTCACAAAAACATCAAATAATTTTGCCTGTTAAATGCAAACTAACTAAGCTGATTGCTGAGCATTATCATCAGAAATATTTACACGTAGGTTCGCAAGCATTATTGTGTTTTATGAGACAGAAATTTTGGCCATTACAAGGTAGGAATTTAACTAGAAAGATTACCCATGAATGTATAATTTGTAGTAAAAATAAACCAGTCACTATCGAACAAATTATGGGGTCATTACCTGCAGAGCGCGTAAATCCAAGCTCACCCTTTAATCATGTCGGCACCGATTTTTGCGGTCCATTTTTTATTAGGTACAAGGGACAGAGGAAAGGAACTCTTCATAAGGTATATTTAGCTCTTTTCATTTGCCTTATAACAAAGGCAGTGCATCTCGAACTAGTGAGTGATCTCACCACTGACGCATTTATTGCCACCTTAAAGAGATTTATTGCTAGGCGCGGAAAATGCTCAATCATTTTCTCAGACAACGCAAAAAACTTCGTTGGCGCAAATGCCGAATTGCAAAGAATTAACAATTTAATTAGAAATCCTGACAAAAAATTAGCAGATTATTTAGGTGAAGAAGGAATAGTATGGAAGTTTATTCCCCCACGGACACCTAATTTTGGTGGACTATGGGAATCTGGAATAAAATCCGTGAAATATCACTTAAAGCGGATTGTAGGTAATGCAAGGTTGACTTTCGAGGAGTTATTAACTGTAGTAACTCAGATAGAGTCTGTTTTAAATTCTCGCCCTATTACTCCCTTATCTTCCGATGTAAATGATTTAGAGGCATTAACACCAGGTCATTTTCTCATTGGAAGACCCTTGAATGCTATAGTAGAACCCGAATTAATTGATATACCTGAAAACAGACTCTCAAGATGGAAACGAACTACCAGATTTGTCCAGTTGATATGGAATCGTTGGCATAGGGACTATTTAAACACACTACAACAGCGTTCAAAATGGAAGGTAGAACAAACGAATATTAAAATAGGTATGCTAGTACTAGTTAAGGAGGATGAGCTTCCTGTCTGTAGATGGGTGTTAGGGCGCATTACAAGAATTTTTCCTGGAGTTGACGGTAAGGTTAGAGTAGTAGAAATACAGACAGCAAAGGGCATCATTAAGCGTGGAATTACAAAAATTGCAATTTTACCCCAAGAAGAAGCTTCCTAAGTTAGTTAAGTGTTAGCTTATTATTATAAAACTTGTATTGTACATTGTATTGTGTATAAAATTTTTATTGAAAATTGAATATTATTATATCGAATTAAGAGATGTTATTCGTATTGCATTATTGTATAAGGGAGTAATTGTACAATTTTGTAGGTTATTATGAGTATTATCGCACAAAATTATTGAAGTAACCCTTCAATGCCGGGGGGTATGTTAAGTCATTAAGACTATTTAACTGTAAGATTACGTCATTTTCTCTTCGCGAGACGCACAGAGGATCTCACAACAAATATATTCAGTAAATTAAAATCCAAATGCAAAAAAAAATGAGTTTCATTCTGTAGCGATGGATAAATCAACAAATGAAACAGATACTGCACAAGTAGACATTTTTATTTGTGGCGTTGAGAGTCTTCACAATTATAGAGGAATTAACCAGTGTTGTTGCACTTAAAGGAACAGATTTTTATTCGAGTCTGACATAAACTTTGGATAAATGTGAGTTAGACTTCAGTAATATATCTGCTAAAAGCGCGGATGGTGCTTAATCTATGACTGGAGAGAAAATAGGAGTAACAAAATTACTCAAATCTGATGTGAAGGCAAGTGGAAATAACACTATGATGACTTTCCACAGCATCAATCCACCAAGAAAATGCGTGCAAGAAGTCCTTCTCAAATTTTCAACATGTGATGAATGTTGTAAAAGTGGTTAATTTCATTCGGTCTGAAGGACTTAATCATAGGCAATTTCAACAGTTCTTGAGTAATTTGGGAGCTGAATATGGTAATGTTGTGTATTACGTAGAAGTACATTGGTTGAGCCGAGAAAAGATGCTTCAGCAACTGTTTTCTTCAAAGAGCAAAGTTAAAAAATTCATGGAATCTAAATGGAAATCTATTCATGAAGTTTAGAGATGAGAAATGGTTGAAAGACTTTGCATTTCTTGTCGATATTACAGGCCATCTCAATGAGTTGAACTACCGCTTACTGGGAAATGATGTACTTTTCATAATCTTTATTACTTTGTGAAAGCTTCTGAGATAAAATTAATCCAGTGGGAAAGTCAGTTGTTAAATAAAAATTCTACTCACTTTCCAAAATTGATGGAGTGTCTGAAGAACTGTCAAACATGGAATTCAATTTACTATGTATAATGCATTTGAAATTTTGAAGAGGAATTCAAAAGCCGATTTTCGTGAAAATGAAATTCTTATGAGAATGTTCTCCTCACCATTTTCAGTAGATGTTGGAAGTGTTTCACCTGAACTTCAATTAAAATTTATAGATTTACAGTGTGACTCTACAGTAAAATGCAAGTTTCTTGAAAATCCTACATTAATTGATATTTATTCGAAGTATGTGACTGAAGACAAGGATCCAGGTGTTAAGTCATTAAGACTATTTAACTGTAAGATTACGTCATTTTTTCTCTTCTCGGCACCTTGCATGGCGCAGATGTTCATTACAGCAACCCTGTAAACGCTTACTCAGTTTTTTTTATTGCTGTTGTTGTTAGTAGTAAGTCATCGCTTGAAAGATGGCACGCATTTGATTAAAGTTGTTGAATAAAATATTTAGTACAGTCCACTTCTAGTTAATTTGAAATTGTTGTATAACAACGCACGCATCGCATGAACACCAGGAATTCCTAAACATGCACTCTCATTCGTCTAGTTTTGGGAGTGCCTACATATGTGAACAGCTTTTTAATAAAATAAAAATTCTACAATCAAAAACAAGATCACGGCTGACAGACAGAAATTTTGAGGAAACTTTACGAATTGCAACAACACAGATTAAACAAGATATTGAAGCTTTAATCAAGCAAAACCAATGTCAAATTTCACATTAAAACTAAACTACCATCTCCTGCCAGTAATGTAAGTTTTTTCTATTTTTTTAATTGTAAATTCATTTTGTAACATCGTCCTGTACAGTCATATTTGTCCTTTTTTTTTCCCCATAGTTAAAAAAAATTGCAAAACATTTTAATTCAATTTCCAATTGACTTTTTGTAACCAAAGTATACAGTCAAAAGTCGTTAATCTGGACTCGTCGGGACTTCGGCAATTCCAGATTATCGATTTTTCCGGATTATAGATCATCAGTTTAAATCTCGTAAGATGGCATGCAGAAATTCTAAAATTAAAAATATGAAACTGTAATTTATGAAATAAAGAACAATTATGATCTAAAGGGTATCAAAATTTACAAAAAAAAAAAAAAAAGGCTTAATATTTGTTTACTTTATTAAACATTTCTTTCAATGTAAGTTGTTTAAGTTGCTTCGTTTTATGTGATAATACTTTCTCTTTAATTCTATAAACAGACATAATTTCTTGTTCAGTTACAAACAGAACAGTTTTCTGCTGTTCAAGTCCCGTAATTGCTGTGCCGAGAATACCGACTAACTTGTCAATTGAAATTTTTTCGTTTTCACTAACCTCTCTGTCACCTTCTTCATGTCTTTATCCATTTTTTGCAGCAATTCCACTTTTTGTCTGATGGACATCGAAACATACTTTCGTTTTGTAGATCCTTTGGGAGCTCCAGCATCGGAAATTCTATTTGACATAATCGAAAGTTCTAGTTTACTTTTATAAAATTGCTCTTACAGTCTGCAAAAAATAATAAGCCGGATCCAATTCGAAGATTAAGCAACAACGCAATCACCAACATTAACTGGAATAGATAATTAGATAATTTTAGCTTATACCATCCGTTATACATAAAACGTGCACGCAAAAACGTATTCTGCGCTTGTGCACATGTATATGCACAGTCGTGAAGGTCTTACATGCATGCGTAAACGCTTATGCGCATGTGTCAACGCGGCGCATGCGCAGAAAGTTTTTACCTTTGAGGTCCGGATTATAGATCATTCCGGAATATGGGTGTCCGAATTAACGATATATCATATCTAAATTATTCATTTTCTTATGCTGATAAATGGTACAGTTTTGTAATATAGAAGATGAATGATAGATGCATCATCAGTTGACACTCATAACCCATTTGATTAGTAAATTAGGAAGCAAATTTTGATTTTTTGTACATTGAAAATTTCTGATTTCAAGAGTTAAAACAGGAGCTTAAAATGAAAGAAAATATTTTAACTTAGAAACTTGCTAAGAAATTGGGTAACCATTATTTACCCAATTTCTTAGCAAGAAATGCACTTACTTATAAGCATACTTTTGATCCAATTATTAAAATTTCGCATATGAAATATGCGACTCTGTTTCCTCTCTTCAAGACCTTTCTCTTGAATCTGATTATAATGCTGAGCTACTATTGGTGCTAAACTGTCAGTCATCTCTGAAACAAAACCAAATAACAGAGATATTTTAGAAAACCTAACAAAGACATGCCAGAATAATAGTAAAAACAACTTAATTGCATTCTCTTTAATTCAGTAAAATAAAACTCTAATGATAACGATCCGTAATGTACTTTGTAGTACTGATATTTATAATACAGCATTAGGACATAAAAAATAGAATTAACTGAACAATTACATTATAAACTTGATATATTACACATAAATTTTCTGAATTTTTACCTTATATTATTGTTTGAATTAATTTCTCTGAAAGGTTGGGGGGAGAAAGAAAGAGTTCCTTAAAGTTTAATCTTTTAATTTTTGTGAACTTTTACATGCATTTGTCACAAATGAAGTGATGATACTTTATAATACTAATTTAAAAAAAATAGAGCAACTTCAAGGTGATGAGGATAAAGTAAGCAAGATGAGTAATACAAGACCATGTTGCTTGCTTTATCCTCTTCATCAATTTCAAACAAAATGTATTAAATTTGTTTTATAAATATATTTCGTAAATATGTACAATTTCAAATAAAATGCCAAAACAACTGAAGTGGTATCTCTTCTTCAAGAATATTATTCTTAGCAATCAGCAAGTTATTTTGTCTGCAAGTTTTGATTTAGGCATTTATCTACAATGTCACATTATTACAACAAGCATCTTATTCCAAATTATATTATATCCTTCTTCAAGAATATTATTCTTAGCAATCAGCAAGTTATTTTCTTCAAATTCAATGAGATTTTCTTTTTAACAGAAAGTTTAAATTTGCTATAAATTTTTTGTGTCTCAGACCACTCTTAAAAATATACAAATCATGACCAAAAATGCAACCCTAAAACTCACACAGCCTCTTAAATAAAAACAATGATTTTCATAATTTTAATGAAATCATGCCATTGTAAAATTTTCCAATTATGAACTTTTATTTCCAAATCAACTTCTATAAATATATAACATAATCAATAGCCATATTAATATTTTACTGAAATAATGTAATAGTAAAGAATTTCCTGAACTCTGGATTCAATAAAAGCTAAGCATTTTCTTCTCATTATCCTTACCCCTAGTAGCTGCCATGTTTTTGGAGTATTTCCGGGTACATATGCCATAATAGTCAACCCTCACTTGTATGTACTCAACATATGCTTGAGCATATATGGAATAACATGCTTTATTTTTAACACTCATTTCATTAAACAGGAAGCATTTCTTGCCCACCAGTTGTAAAAATATTACAACTGACCACATAGACTTTAGTTTTTTTTTTCATGTAAAATGCTCCTTTTTCTGATTGTCAATCATACATATGAATAAAATCATACCTATAAGCAGTTAAAACAGCCAAACAAACATTTCATGCCAATTCAAAAAATTGACAATGTGTTGAAAATTTAGTAATTCTTTTATTCAACTTGAGTCGGAAAACTGAATCAGTGATGCTGATGAATAATTTGAATTTTCTTACATAAAGTCATAAAAATACATTAGACTGCACATGCATTAAAATGTAACTTAAGTGTGTTTAACTGCATGCAGTAAACAACATATATTAAAGATGAATTACGGCGATTTTTCTAATAAACAGTCATGATTTTAAAGCATTACTTTTTTACAACTGAAAATTTCCCAGTTCTCATTACAGTTCAGGTTTGATGCATATTTTTTCGGCCATCAGAGCTTACGTAGTTAAAATTTATTGCCGCATCTTTTGATGCAAAGTAAAGCCACAATAAGAATTTACTCTGTATAATATAATAAAAAAAAATTTTGTTTAATCCCTACTAACGCATTCATTCGCTTTTACAATCTTTCATGACAACACATGACAGAAACAAAGGATTAAGACAACACATACACAAGCAATAAATTTATAACTACAGAAAGCAAATTAATTTAAATATTATGTGGCAGATTTTATTTTGGGAAAAATGTTATCCTTAAATTTATCAGCCATTACAATGTACACTTTAAATTTTGCAACTACACATATGACTTGGATTTTAAAAATACCGTAATACATACTGCTTTCAAATTTTTTTTCAAAACACCGATATTTCAACTTTCTTATCATTGCTGCCAGATAGCTAAACATAAATATATCCAAAGTTCCCCCCCCCAAAAAAAAACAATTAGGGCGTTTGTGCAGCACCAATTTATTCGCTCGCGTATGACAACGTTTAACAAAAAGGCTGATAATTATCCATACCATCTTTTTTTGTCTTCATTCAGTTTCAGTTTCCTAAAGAAATCTGTTTTTATGAGATCCAATTTAATTTTGGAGAAAACAAAAAACGGAGAGTTTTTTTTTTTTTTTTTTTTTTTTTTTTTTTTTTTTTTTTTTTTTTTTTTTTTTTTTTTTTTTGTTTTTTTTTTTTTTTTTTTTTTTTTTTTTTTTTTTTTTTTTTTTTTTTTTTTTTTTTTTTTTTTTTTCAAAGAAAAATATTCTTAGGCGGATTTATTTGATTTGGAACTTGTTTTAAAGAATTAATTTCATTTCAGAAATAAAAGTTTTTAAGTTATTTATAATTCATCTTTCAGCCTGATACAGACAGACAGAGAAATATCTTATTTTGCACCTGCTAAGTCTTTCTGCAAATAATCTGGACCACAAATATAATACCAGTAAATATTATTATACCTATGATCTGTACATTTTTCAGTACTTTCAGCATGATCCAAAAGGGAACGAAACATAGCTATACGTGATTTCTGTGACTTATTGAGCAGATATATTTTTAGCTAGTTTAAAAAGTATCACGGAGGAAATTAAACGTTATCCAAGAATGCTTCATTGTCTTCGAAGGATTCACGTCGTTTGATCTCACTGTTCATTCAATATGAAACAATGTGTTTGATTTTAAATACAGACCAACAATGCAAATCTTGTAAACTTTAAATTTATCATTAATCAAATTAGCATTAAAACATCATAGCCGTATGAAATGGGTAAACGTGTTGAATAAACGATGCTATTCCTAAGCTGCAGTGCAACAAGGCCATCTAGTTTGGCCTTAAGTGTAGTCACAGTACCAAGAGGGAAAGTGTAAAGATTAGTGCGACCCATAGATATAATATTGTTACGTTTTTCTTACGTGGGGGTTCATGGATTTGGAGGGTAAAGTCCTAGTACTATACGGTGCAGCCTTGGCGCGATTTTGAAATATTTCGCCAACACCAAAAATGATCCAAAGAACATCTATATATATACACTGACTACCAATAAGTATTTGGACACCTATGCAAATGACGATATCTGAGGTCCTAAGGTACGTCACGGACTACGCCGGTATATATCGTGTAGGAAACAGCATCGGCTTTAGCCGCATGCGAGATGCCTCGCAGTTCGGAGCTCTCTGATTTCGAGAAAGGTATAATTATCGGGTATCACAAATGTGGCTGATCCTTAAGGGACATATCTAGCGATCTGAAGTACCCAAAATCGACAGTGACATAGGTGATTAAGAGGTGGAAGGTGAGAGATGATTGTCGGAATGTTCCCCGAGTCGGCAGACCAACGAAACTGGGAGATAGAGACCGACGAGTGCTGTCCAGAGAAATTCGGACGAACCGCACCCAACCGATGGCCCTCATCCGCGAGGAGTTTCAACAGGCATCCGGGAGTATTGTTTCAAAGAATACCATCCGTAAGGAAGCACATCTGTCACATCACACGTAGATCAGTGGAAAGGGGTTCTTTGGAGTGACGAATAAAGGTTCACCCTTTACCGTTCGGATGGCAGGGTCTGGGTCTGGCGTCTACCTGGAACGTCTCCTGCCAGAATGCATTGTGCCAAAAGGCAAGTTCGGCGGAGGTGGAATTATGGTCTGGGGGTGTTTCTCCTGGTATGGGCTGGAACCCTTGGTCCCCATTTTGGTAAGCTCAACTCCGATGCCTACTGCACTATTTTGGATGACAATGTGCTTCCTACGTTGTGGCAGTTTTACGGGTTGGACCCCTGTTACTTTCAGGACGACAATGCCAGTTGTCATGTTTCGACGTTAACCAAGGCTTGGTATGGTGCCAATGGAGTTCATCGAATGGACTGGCCTGTCCAGAGTCCAGACCTGAACCCTATCGAGAACCTCTGGGACGAGTTGCATCGCCGAATTCAGAGGTGCACTACCCGTGCAAAATCGGTGAAGGAACTTCTATGTCTTCTCCAAGCCGAGTGGAAGAAAATACCACTAGCTGTCATACAGATTTGTAGAAAGTATGCCCTGGAGGGTCCACGCTGTAATTACCTCTCGTGAAGGCTTTACCAACTATTGATTTTGAATAAAGTTAGTTTTTCTTTTCTATCACAGGTGTCCAAATACTTATTGGTAGTCAGTTTACTATGTGTGTATATACACTACATACGTAGTATGTAACTATGTAGAACTATATATATTCTTTGAATGACCCGTTTACTACTCATCGTATATGTCCCGTTTCTACTGCTCATCATAAAGTAGCCAAATCCCGTGTGCAGCAGATACTAGGAATAAACCGGTTTTTAGTGAATAACGACAACAGCACTTGATGAAGTACCAAAACACAATTTATTACTCAGGAAAGATCCAAAAAACACGTTTACAGTCGTCGAAACGGCAAAGACGCTAAAACAATCACCAGCACAGCTTTCAGGGTATCAAGCAGTTAATATTTCTTAATCGGGATGAGCGCCAAACTTGGCGAGAGTTTTTATTTGGCGCGATATTGATTTGTTTGTGGTTTTCTTGTGGCAAACCTAGAGCTTTATTTCGGTAATTCGAATAAGAGTGTAAATTTAGTGTAGCCAGATTTTTTTTAAAATTTAATTTAAAATACTGTGTGTGTTTTAAAAAGTTTTACTGTTTAATATAAATATTTGCAAAAGGTTAAGCTGTTGTTGGTGGGAGAATGTTGGATTTCAGATGATGTGAAGTTCCTCATTTTTAATTCTCCATACAGTTATTCGACCATCGGAACCAAAAAATGTTAAATTTGCTTTCGTCAGCAAACAGGACATTATTCCAGTACATTTCGGGTGTATTTATCATCGATTTTGCGAATGGAAGCCTAAGCTTTCTGTTTTTCTGAAGAAAGAAAATTTTTACAGGCAGAACACCCATGTAATCCAGCTTCTCTGAGAACTCGTCAGTTTCAATAAACAATTAAGTAGAAAACTTTGAAGTTAGAAACTTTTACAGCACTCAAATGTGGGTTTTCACAAATTTTCTATTAAAAATTCTCTCATCACGTTTAGTTAACTTTCTCGGTCGACATTTTCTTACCTTGTTTTAAATCCGATTTTCTTCTTTGAAGTGTTTTATCACATACAGCACTGTGGAATGGAATAAATTAACTAATTTAGCGATATTTCAAATTGATTTATTCCTACTATGGCGAAAAATTATCTATTTTCGAATGCTGATTACAACTTATCCTTTCTTTACGACTGAGACCCATTTTTCAATAATAAATAGAATATTATGAAGTAAACAATACAAAATTAAAGCAAACAATTTTTTAAATGCCACCATAATGCAAAAGTTAAAAAAGCGGAAAACGATAATTCTAATTTTATCCAAAAATTCAACGTACGAAGACTTTTGAGAGATAAAATGTTTGTCATTTTTTTATTATTAATTTCTTAAAAATGAAGTTTCGCTATATTTTAAAAATATTTCATGTAATTTTGTTACGAATAGATTATAGATATTATTAAAATCTCATTTGGAAAGTTTACTTTTAGTTAATGGATAGAGCCTCATTTCAATGAAAATTTTAAGTGTACGAACACTTTTGGATGCCACTGTATAGCCATTAATAAACAGCTGCAGAAATATCTCTCTCCTTATCGACTCAACAAGGCGGAAAACAAAACTGATGCGCAATAACTGACCTGTAGCTTCGCTCTCCTATTCACAGAAAGCGGTTATCAAGAGCAGCTGCGACAATCCATTTATTACTCTTAGTGTCAGAGTTACTTCGATACCTTCTTCTCAGGCGGCAAATGACGGAACAATTAACATTCAAGATTTCTGTAACTTTTGAATGTCATTTGCTCTCTTTGGCATGTCTTGCTACTTCTAGGCACTCGTAACATTACTCCTTTTTCAAAATTTAGCTATTTTAATTTTTTTACCTTAAGACCACAACGCAGATGAAGGCTCTATACAAAGCAAGCCGTTTTTTTCCTTACACTTTCCTTGTTAACAATGTTAATATGGATTTTTTTTCTGCCGACTAGTTTCTGAATACATACATCTACTGTGTATATTAATTTTGTGGCTGCATGTTGTTTCTTTCGAAGACTTTCCTTTCAGAAAAGGTAAAGTCTCACCCGCATCTTATGTACTTTGAGAAGGCTTTGACATATGCATATATTCCGAGCATTTTCATCCTCTTTATGCAAAGACAATTTCTCTGATCACCTAAATTCTTCACAACATTACTCGGGGGTATTACAATTTAGTTAACCTCTCGGATTTGTTTATGAGGAAAGGAAGACCCTGCATGAAAGAGGGATTGCATGGAGGACGGGTGCATCTGAGAGCAAAAATATTTAGTTTCAATATCTCTAGTTTTGTTCACCTTACATGTGTTTACACCATATGTAAGACACCGAAACCCTGGTGTTTGAATGAAAAGAAATTCAGTAGCTTACGTAGCAGTTAGAAGAAATTTACAGCAATATTGATTCATAATGCAAGTTAGAAAACAATAATGCATCCTGTATAACCGAAAAGTCAATAACGAAATTTCTGAATTAATATCTACCCCGAATCGTCTCGTTTTACATCAAATTCTTTATCACAAAAGGAAATTTGTTTAGAAGATGCTAACTCACAGAGCAGATGCATTTGATTTCGCGGCAAATCATAGCATTCGATATAGTAAAAATTACCAGAAAAAGGAATTGGATTTTTTTTTAGTTATTTTTTATAGAAGAATTAATTAATGTAATTAAAAGACACAAACTGTGCCACTCAACATTTGTTGGAAAATACATTGGCATTCAAAAAAAAAAAAAAAAAAAAAAAAAAAAAAAAAAAAAAAAAAAAAGACCGCATTTTTCTACCTGAATTGAAACAAATGAAAATTAAATTTTTAAAAAAGATTTTTGCAGAAGGCAGATATTGATAAGCCGTGCCTCTTTTCTTTTATCTATCTTGGATTGACAAGTGTTTAATTATCTTTAAAGGCTTGTTTCCATTATTGCAACGCAGACGTGTTGCTTTTCTCCAATTAGCAAATGAACAGACTTTGACTGAAATCTGTGATGCGCTGACAGAAGACTGACCAAGAATTCTAACCCTCTTGAGATGGACTGTATATGGTTGAACATTGTTTAACTTCTATTTGTACGTCTGCGGAAGTGTTGGGGATCATGTGGTAAAAAACGAGCTATAGGCGCTGTCAAGGAGGTTAAAATAGACGATTTACATTCAATGACTTAAACAATTTACATTCAAAGAATGTTTAATAAAGTAAATAAATGTTAAGTTTTTTTTTTTTTTGTAAATTTTGATACCCTTTAGATCATAAATGCTTTATTATTTCAGAAATAACAATTCCATATTTTTAATTTTATAATTTCTACATGCCATCTCACTGGATTTAAACTAATGATCTAACATCCGGAATCGCCGAAGTTCCGAGCTCGGACTTTGTACTATACAATGTTTTATGAGCACATAGCTGAATCTGTGTAATTAACTGTACTTTTTAAGGAGTAAATAGATTGTCGGGTATGGGAAGAATGATGTACCATTTTTTTCTTATTCTACATGTTGCCCCCACATAAATATTTATTGGAGCAAACATTATCAATATATCAAAAGAAAACAAATGCAAATTCGAATTGTTCAATAAGGATTACATGATATATTAAACATTATATATGATATATTATGGTTGTTGTCCTTATGTGTGTACAGTGATCAGTATCCATTTAAAAAATATTTAAAAAAAAATCTGATTCTGCTGAAATAATTTACTTTTTATAAAAACAGAAAGTACAAATAATTGTGCATGAATAAGAAAACATTAAAAAATAATAATAAAAATCTTCAAAATTTAAAATCACAAAGTATCAAATATGATAATTCCATTCATTCTTTAAGGGTGGATTGAAATGTGATGGGATGACAGTACACCATGGTCTTGAGGTATCCCTACAGCCAAAAGTCGCAAGGATGCAAGTCGGGGGATCTAGGAGGCCAAGCTGTAGGAAATTGCCGGATGATGATTCTGTCGTTACTGAAATAGCGGCAAAGCATTTGTTTCACACAATGGGCGATGCGTGGAGGAACACCATCCTGCATAAACACTGTGGTTGTAACACATCGCCTTGCCTTGGGAGGGAGACCGGGCTCACAATACAGGTTGCAGTAAAGCCGTATCAAACCATTATATGCAAAGAATGTAATGGAATTTGTGGGAACTGATGTGGGTTTGTAGCAGTTTAAATACATCAAATGTGTGTGTTAACCGCACCTTTCATATGAAAGTGGGCCTCATTGGCCCACAAAATGAAGCAACACAAAAGTTTGTTCACTATCCAGATCAGCCGGTAAGAGCTGCTGTACTAAGGACAGTTTACAGGGATAGTAGTATACAACTGCTTGAAAAATCTTATAAACTGTGGAATGAGGTTGGTCAATTAGATGCTGCAAAACGCCGAACAATAGTGCTGCCAATGGTTTATGATCTGTCTTCCTCCACTTGCGCTGCTACATCATCCACTGCCAGTGCTGCAACACACTTTCATCCCCTTCCTGCCAGAATCCTCATTGCTTCAAATTTCCTAATCATGTTTGTTAGCCCTTAACTAGTGAGTAGACCTTTTCGTAACTGCTTCAAAGACCAAAATTTCTGCAAAGCTTCAGTAGCAGTTTCCGTTTTGGTAAAACAATCTCACCAGTAAAGCAAGTTCCTGAAGAATCAATGTCATCTTCCTCGACTTGGAAACGAGTATGACTGCCATGTTACATGTTCCGCTATACGTCGTGAATAATATGGGATATGCGTGTTGTTATCCAGCTGTCTTAAGGTAATTGTCACTAAGGACGCTTCAGGTAAAAGTGTTGCTTGACTGTGTGGCCTGTAGGACAGCATAGGATTTGGGTGAGTGGTGCGCAAGCCTTTGTCACATGTGCAAATATGACTGTGGTTCGCCTCTCGCATCTTTATAGGGTTCCTGTATGCGGATTGAATTACTATGATCACAACATTTGCCCCATATGCCAATAGTTTACTTTACTCAATGCCATCTAGTGATGGTTTTTGAAACTCATTTTTTTTCCTCGATAAAACTTCCATCATTTCATTCTGCCATTACCCAATTTTCACGCAATTCTGCTGCAGGGTTTTTGCTACAAACAGCTTGCAAATTTCAAGTTTAATCATGGACACCCTGTATATCTACATACATATATTAAAAGAACATGCAATGTGGATATACTAGATACCACAGTAAGTACGAATTTTTAGTGATATTTTTAGAATATGTTTGGATAGTTTGTATGTATCAGTTCCTTAGGATTAAAAAAAATTATGCAAATTGGACCAACTTGTATGAATGATCAACTGACATAGTTTGATATGGTTCTCGTACAAATGTATGAATACAGTAGTCATACGGTCAAATGAATGTTTAAATATTTGTTTAAAAAATATTTTAAGCAAGCAAATTTTCCAAGCTCATATACATGTTGCACATGGGAAAACCATGAAAGTGCTAATGTAGCCATCCAGTTTTGCCGGGATTTGAACCCTGGACTGAACTACTAGTGTTCAGCAACTTTACCACTCGGCCATTGGTTGACAATTATGCGAAAGAAAGTGTGCCTTACTTAGACAGTCTTGTGCTTTCCAGTAATTAAAGAAATCAGTCTAAAAGGTGTTAGGAGAATATTAATCATGTTATCAGTCTTTCTACATATTCCATTCAAAGCCTACGACTTCAATTTTTACTTCAAAATATTTATGAATAATAAAATCATGCGAATAAAAAAAATAGTGCTCATCAGTTTGTAAAATAATAATGTAAATCTGTGCATTTTATAAGCCCAGTAGGTTTAAAAACAATGTTGGAATATATATAAATATACATTAAAAATAAATGAAAGTTCAATGTAATTTATTTAGTTTATTTAAAGTACAAAATTAAAAGAAATTAATGCTATTGAGAACACACATGCACATAAAAATTAATTATTTTCCCCGTTTGTACTGCCCTTTTCCACGGGCTGCCTTCTTGTTCTTAGACTTTGCATTTTCTTCAGCCTAGAAATAACAAATATGGAATTTAATATCCTTTTAATATTATAAAAATATATGCATCAATTATAAATTTTATGTCTATATAATTAGATATAAAACAGGGCAATTAAGATAAAATTTAATATTTTACAAATGTATTTCAGCTAAATGTATGAAAATTTAATTTTCTCTTACAATGCTTTTGCTACAATAAAACTGCATATACTATTTAAATGAGGAATATTTTCATCACTGCAAAGAATAGCATGATGACCAACCATCATCTTCCTTGTAAAAAAGTAAAAACAATAATGGGGAAAAAAAAAAAAAGCAACTATTGCTTTATTTCACAGTTTTGCTTTAAGGTTTTGAGCAGCTTAGATGCTTTTCTGAAAGTTATTCTTGGTTCCTCTGTTTTGCAAGTGTAGTGGAACATAATTTAATGTTTTTATATAATTATTAAGATTTCCTAATTAGAAACATGATGTAATGTTTTTGCATAGTTATCAAGATTTGCCGTGTGGCAACAACTAGTCGAGTTCAAAAAAGGAGTTACTTGGAATGTTGCATGATAAGCATTGTGTAAGCTTTATTTTTTAAAATTTTGTTATATTTTTATGTTAAGAAATAAGTAATATGTTGCAAATAAGAACGGAAATTGTAAAAATAAATATGCTGTTTCTTTTGAGATCAAAATAAGCATTTATTTAAATTATAAAATGCTTTGGATGATCAGTTTCGATTTCGCTTATCTATCAGATCCACATAAGCATCACATAAATTTGATATCAAACCAATTAAAAAAAAAAAAAAAAAAAAAATACAAATCCCTTATCAAATAAAAAGATGATAATAAGTTATTTTATGTACAGTTACCCTCGTAATAGTGTCACAGATGCGGAATTAAATTTATTTTGAAAACAATTAAATTTTACATACCTTTCTTTTAGCAGGATTGATTTTGGGAGTAACAGTAAAAAATGAATCCAGTCTCACTTGTGTGCTACCTTGCCTTTCTTTCATCAATTTCTTGACTGAATTCCTAACTCTGTCTTCACTGAAGGCAAATAAGAAATAATAATATAGATATGAAAAGGAATAAGGAAAAACAGTAATTTTTGCAGGGAAAAAAAAAAATTATAGCTTAAAAAGGAAAAGAAAAACACAGCAGTTTTAAATAGAAATGGCACAGGATTAAATTACAAACCTGAATCCATTCTGCTCACACAAAAACTTGACCAAACCTTCTTCATCAGGATCAGTCCATTTAATCTGCAGACAAAACCTGCATTTTAAAAATATTGCTTTGGCACAAACTAAAAATCATATCACACTAAATTCTGTCATCTTTTAAGGTGCACATAGTCTTCAACTTACAATGGTTTGATTTATGATAACTCACTTCTGATGACAACCAGAAGCGAAGTTTATAAAACCTCTAATTAAAGTTTATCACCAGCATACATGTATTGTTTAACAAGTTGCACTTTCTGATGAATCATCCAAATGAGTAACAATTACTTAGCTGTTATTTTTAACCATTGATATTCTTTACATGTTTTTGCTCACGTCAACAGAATCTGTTATCTATGCATCATTATGTAAGCTCGTCAATGGTTTTATTTTTTTGCATCAAGAAAATTTTTACTTCACTTATTAATCAAAAAGTCAGTTGTTTCAATGTAGCTCCTCGATTTAACATTCTCATTTAGTTATAATAACTTTCAATTTCTTTAAGCTCTACAACAAATTTGTAATGCTTCACAGTTCGTCCACAAATAAAGTTTACTGTTTTAATTACCGCTTCCATAATATCATCTGTTTGAAAACGTTTGGTATAGAGTGCTTTTTGATGAATGATGCGACATGTAGCATAAAACCTATTCTGGAAATTTTCTTCTTTCATTATATTTCTTAATTTTACCACTACTCCATTTCCCCGCCCCCCATACCAAGCATAGCAGCTGTACCATCGCTTGCAAATCCAACAATTTTATTTCAGTTTTAATTTATATTTGCAGATTACAGTTTTTATTTCAGAAAAAATATTATGGACATTTTTTTCTTTCATACGAATTATTGCCAGTAATCCCTCAATTACACAACTTCCAGTATATCCTCAACTACTGTTCATCAGTAATACCTTGCATGAAAATGGCAAGCCGTGCTATATCTGTGATGTCTCATCAAGTGCTACTGAGAATGCTTGGAAATCTATAAATATTTCATTTCATCATAAATTGCTAGTGATTTTGTTTCTCCACTGACTCAACTGTCCTAGATTTTACACAGAGAAAAAAGATCTTAACGTAGTTAATATGAAAGGAAGTCAAACTTTCACTAGACGCTCGCTAATAATTACTTTCACTAAATTTTCATCAGAGGATTCTTAATACATTTTAAAGTATTAATGAATTTTTTTAAAAAATAGTGAATTGCATAACTATATTTACTGTTGTTAAGGTAGTGCAAGTATACCTCTCTGATCCCTGCTGGCTACATTCATATGTAGACAAGTAATATTTCAAAATGGTTTCATATGCAAGCCTGTATTAAATTATCATAACAACAAAGGGCAAATAACTTTTCTATAATTAAAACCATGGCAGTGCTTGTTTTAGAATAGGTATCAGCTACTGAGACAGCAGAAAACATACGCACAGTTGGCTAATGTTAAAATTCACACTACAGCAGCATAATGTAGTACTTAAAAGGATGAGTAAACTATAGTAGGGAGGAAAAAAGAGTAAAGTACATACAGTACAGAATGAATAGAAAAAGGCTTTATTGACACAATAGGAATGGTACAAAATATTGTCTGGCCAAGAAGGAGAACAACCAAAGAACTGATAGGACCTCCTCTAGCTGCAATGCACATTGCACCATTCAACACCAGATTAGCTAACAATTCTTGAAATAAGAGTTCCCATTCTTCAAAGAGCATATGTTTCAGTTGTCTGGTGTTCTCCAGAGGATAAGATCATATTTCCACTCGTCTTCTTAAAGTATCTCACACATGTCCAATTGGATTTAAATTAGAGGAGAACACTGGCCAATATATTCTATGGATATCTTCACTTTCCAGGAACTTTTCAATGACATGAGTCCTATGTGGCTATGCACCGTCATCCATAAAAACAAAATCAGGACCAATGCCACAACAGAAAAGACACATGTGGGAGAGGAGAACTTATCAGAATAATGACCTCTGGTAAGCGAATCTCTGTCGAAAATGTGGAGCTCAGTCTGCCCATTCATCTTAATGCCTTTTCATGCAAGCATGCCAAGACTACTCTAACAGTCTCTTTCCCTAATGTTAGTAGATGAGAACGTGTCCCTAGCTCTCTTCATAATTAAAGAAGGCATGACTCCCTCATGTCTTTGTGTTCTTTACACCACTGTAAACGGCGCTGCAAATGAGCTCCTGCCACTGGCATATAGCGTTCAGAACAGCAGACAAACAAATCATCTTTATGAAGTCATCTGACCACAGTAAACTGGGAAATCTGCTATCCAGCTGGCTTGCACAACTGCTGAGCAATGCTGCCTGATTTCGATCTCTTTTTGCCTGCAGCATGATGTATCAGTTATCTGTCACCATTGTTTTTCTTGGCCGAATACAACCAACCTTTCTTACAGTTGCACCTGTCATATCAAAGGCTTTCCAAGCTAAAAAAACCACACTTTTCCAAAAGCTTGGCCAACAGATGTCAAACTACACTCCCTTTGCAAGCTTACCAATCTTTCTACCATGTGTAAAGGCATTCTTATATTCTCGTATAGCTGTTCTATGGTACTATCTCAGTTTCACTTGAAGAAGAATGCCTGGAAATGCTCCTTCCTTTCAAGCTGCCTTGCACTGTCCTCTCCGATTCCTTGCATTTTGTGTGTCCTGAAATATCCTCCAATGTCATGGTGCTGATATCTGCGTATGCATCACCTTTCTACTGAGCAGATTATTTAGTGTTCTGTTCACAAAAAAACCTTTAAAAAAATTTCATGGTCACATGTTGAAAAATTTACTTGTTGCTTAAGTTTTGGACACTAGTGTATTACATATTATTAACATAACTCATTTCAGATTTGATCACCTCATTTTAAGAAATACTTTAAAATGGAAAAATAAAATAATTCGTACGTCTGCACTTTGATTTTCAGAAAGGAATATAAGGAAGAGTATTGATTTGTGTAACATTCAGATTAGCAATTCTGTGACAGATAAATTACAATTAAACTATGCAGTTTACTATGCAAATATAAGAAAAAGTGTGAACAGACTATAATTATGCTATGGATTGGATAAAATTTGTTGGAATCATATTTATAGATAATGTGTATCCCAGGGCATCTTTTGAAAGAATTTTAAAATAATAGGCACATAAAATGCAATGGATGAAACTGCAGATTATTTTACCATGGAAAGGTAATGTTCTTGATCATGATCACAGTACATTAAAAGACAAGTGTACAGAAAATACGAACAATTATATTTTATAAAGTAAACAGTGCATATATGCGTATGTTTCCCTGATGTAAACATTAAAACTCATTTTAAATAATATATTAAAAATAAACTGCTAAGAAATTCCTGTCAAATTCATGTGTGTCTTGCCTTGCATTCTGAAGAAAACAACATAAAGCCATGTCAGAACCGTGAATTTACTGTATGTGTACAAAGCATTTAATTACCAATACTTTGTTTCGTTTCTCACATATTTTATTCTTCAAGAGTTATCATGGACTTGCAGATATAAATAACTTCCAAAAATACTTACCAAAGTTAGGACTGAATGAACTATGTACTTAACGTCTCATATGGACATTCTCTGAAATGTTTTGAAAAAATGTAGACCTTATACAAGCATATATGGTAATTCAGCTGTGTTACAGCATCTAAATATTCAATGAAAAGCATTTATTTGGGTAACAAAATGCATGAAATAATGACTGACTCAGTTTTAATAATTTTCCCTCACATAACTATAATTACTAATAAAATGACCTAAAAAGTTAAAGCAGTTTGTCATATTAATACTGTTCAAATACAGTTAAACTCCACTATAGCAAATCTAATTTATATTGAATCTCTGGATATAATGAATGAACTTCCCAGTCCTACCTAATTTTCTACATTTTTAATGTTATTTTATATGTCTATAACAAAATACCAAATATATAAAAATTGGATATAGCAAACTTAAGGGATATTTTTCCCCTTGGAACACTTTTTATATTTTTCATAATTTTCTTCCAAAATTTCTGAAAATTTCAACTGAGAAATAACTAACCTTTAAAATTATTCATATTTAATATTATTTTTTAGAAAACCAGGACACAAAACAGACATATCTTAGGAAATCATATGTTCCAAAAATGATTTCTCATAATTACATATGTGCATGTTAGACAGAGGTATATATTTCAAGAGAAAGATCTGAAGAATGACTTTGATGAATGAAGAAGATGAAAAGCTAATATAATAACAGCACATAATTAATTTTAATAACCCTTAATTCAATTTTTAATTAGAAATATTATTCATTTTCTTTAATAGATGTGGCAGAGCTAATCAGTACTTTTGTGATTAACAGTCAATTTATATATATATTAAAAAGTAAATTCTTCAATCTTTCCCTTCCCCAAAAAAATCATCTTCACTACAGATAAGCTTTTAGATTTGATATTGATTAGCAAGCACACACACACAATATATATATATACATAAAAGAATGCACTAGTAATTATGATTTAATTATGATAAATCTGCAGAATTGAACAAAGAAGGAAACATAATTTAATTATTAATTACCTCCAGAGTATTTGAATCTGCAACTTCAGGGGATTTAAATAATTCCCTTGCTTCTTTGAACAGCCAATCATCAGGAATTTTAAATTTCTGTAAAAGGGTTATATATCTTTAATGAACTTAAATCACTTCAATCTTTAAGTAATCAATTAATAAATGAATTATTGTTTAAACAGATAATTACTAAATTATAAATGAATTGCTAAAGAAATCTCTAAGCAATCAGTTAACAGATATTTTATTATTAAAATTACTTTTAATTATAATTAAAAAGTTATAAATGAACTAGATTTTTTTAATAATAATTTTACCCCATTAATTGCCTTCAACATTTTTTCAATAGAACCATGCTTTTTTATCAAATCATAAGCTGTCTTGGGGCCCATTCCTTTTATTTTATCGCAGTAATCACAGCCGAGTAAAATACACAAGTCAATAAACTGAAAAGGAATAATACATGGTCACTCCAATACAGTATTACACAAAAGGATTTTCAATATATAGCAAAAAATAGAGATATTATGTTACAAAGTATTTAACTATTATAATACTAGAAAATGGGAAGATATAAAAATATAAGAATGGTAATCATTAACAAATAGGCAAATGAACTGAAGCATAGTGTTATCAAATGATTCACATTGCTACAATGAATAAAAGAAAGTGAATACAACAAAAAGTATTAAAATTTATGCAGCTGACATTCAATTAAAAAACTAAGAATTCTTAAAAAAGGCTGGGAAATATATGAAGAATAGAACAGAATCTTTTCTGGCAACTTTATAAAGCGTATTTTCTAATCACTCTTCTTGTAAAATTTTTGAGATTTGGGAATAATTCAAATTTTGCAGATTTAAATATTTTACCTTTGTTTCAAGGAATAGAAGTACAAATATTAAAGAGTAAACAAAGTTACCTTTCTTTGTTATTCTCCTTCTCCAAAACTTTGTGTTTATTCTTGAAACATTTATTTCATTTATGTTTTTACATTTGCTATGCATAATAAAACCAAAGTTTAATGACGTTAAAAATAGAGGCCCACCAGCAGCTGAGTGATAAAGCCGTTGAAAGCTGGTAGTTTGGTCAGGAGTTCAAATCCTGAACGGGCTGGCTGTATGGGCATTTTCATGGTTTTTCCCATGTAATACGTAACTCAATCTATTTTCCCTTAAGAAGTCCTCCATGAAGGCACTCCTCCCTTTAAGCAGATAGCCCTCGCATGCTTTACCGTAAACTAAACCTTTAAAAACAGCACTACATTTGAGATTTTCTCAGGAGAAGAAGAAAATATTTTCCCATTCCTCAGTGATTCTACTTCCTATTCTGTTCAAAAGCAATTGAGTGCCATTACACTTAAATTATACTAAAACATATATCCATTTCATGGTTACTTGAAGAATGCCCATGGATAAGCCCTTTATTCTGAAAGAATATAATGGCAGAAACTTTATCCTTTAGTAGTTGTCTTCCCCCCTGCATAACTGCTATTATTATAGTGCACATGAATGCTTACTAGCATGTTAACAAAAAACTTTCTGATTTCAGGAAAAAAGAAAACCACATTGAAAATTGTTGTAAAAAAGTGAAAAAAGTCCTCTCCTCTCTACTTACAGGAGGGAAAAAGTAGGCAGACCTTTGAAATGCATACAGCAAAATTTACTTAAATTATGCCAATTCTTGATTCTAATATTTACCTTTAGCTGAACCTAATAACTGTGAGAAATAGTCTAACATGGCATTTCTTTTAAAAGGCAAGAAAAGCATGCCTGAAGAAATTGTATAATTCAATTCTGAATCTCAACATCATTTTTCTATAGTCCCGTTCACAAGAGCAGATTCAACAGGTGCCAGAAAACGGTTCTTTCAAAGAATCCCATTCACATGGCAAACAAGCGTTAATTGCCTCTCGGAAATGGAGGTAGAATGCTCCTAACTCTCTGGAGCAGAACAGGGCAGGGCAAATGGGAAGATTTCCCATACTGCACTGCTTCACATAATTTATTTTGTCGAAGACGTCGTCTTTTGGCTAGCAATCTGCCCTCTAAACAGTGCATATTCAGGTGTTGGTACAAAAATAATTGTAGAAAAAGCATAAGTCTTTCTTGAGCCATGACAAAAACTTCGATAACTTTCTATAGCAATAGTAAATAATGTCAAAACAGAAGAACATTAGAAATCTGCCAATCGGATTCACATTTGTGACATCATTGCTAGCAGTGGCTTATGGGCTAAGGGATGGAAGACAATGTGTATCTAAACCGTTCCTGACGATAAAACTTCTTGATATCCCCTTTTCTCCCTAATACAAACAGTGGCTGTGCAAAACAGCGTTGCATGTGAACAGGGCTTATGAGGAAGAATGCCATAGAATTTCCTTTCTTCAAGGAAAAATAGTATTTTTTCAGACATTATTTCACTTGTAACAGACAGTTTTCCTACAGAATAAATATCCCTAAGTTTGAATTTTTGCCACTTTTGAAAGTATTGTTTGAATGATTCAGCTCTGCTAAAATTAATCATTACTATACTTAAAAGAGAAACAATATCATCAAATTATAGAAATAAATATTATGGGCTGCAACATATTATTAAAAAAATTAAAACAGCAAATTAATTATAATTATATCCAGAAGTTTAAAATAATTCTTAGTATATTAAAAGACTAACAAATTTTAAAATGATTTAATTATATTCAACAATTAAATAATTATAATTTCACATTCAATAGACAATGTTTTATGTGATCACGTTTGATCATTATTTTGACAATAATAAACGATGAGAAAAACTTCCTCTTCAAAATAGCAGTGGAATTTAACATAAATATAACCGGATATATAAAATGGCATTTTCATAGCAATCGGGGAAAAGATTAAAATTTGTTTATGAACTGTGTTCACAATGTCTTTAAGGCAAAAGTTTATTTATAAACTACTCAGGACATTTCTGGAAATCATTTGACTGATGCTGTACTCATAATCTTAATACTTGGAGAGCATCCCTTATTGAATAAGAACATGCAAAACTAAAATGAAAAATTAAACACACACACAAAAAAAGAAAGGCTTTAAATTTTAAATTACGTCCAAAGGGGCTTTTTTTTTAACATTTTGTGTGTTATATTTATTTATTAAATATCACGTTCTTCGCACTTAAACCATAAAATTCAATTCAACGGCAATATCGCAAAATAGTTTTAAAATGAGCATATCTTTATAATTTCTGATACAAAGACTTGCCCTCTGGAGACAAAAATGCTTTTTCTATACAACGTTGCTATTGCTTGCTTTGAAATCCTCGAGTTTGTTAATAAAAAATTCATTAATATTTTACAAAATATGAAATTGATAATAAAAAAAAAATTCCAAATTTGGGCTTCCACATGCCCATATTCATAGGAGGATTACGTCATTCAAAATCGATGGCTCTATGTACCGTTGTTTTATCACAATGGAGAAATATATATACATTTATGCAGATTTTTCATTATTTGATTTCTTCAAGTATAATGCAGGACTCTAACATTTGGAGAAAACAGTTTGAAAAGTGAAACAGACATTTATAGTGAACCAACGCAAAACAAAAACAATAGTCCTTCACAGACAAAGCCTCTTTGGTCTAAAAAAAAACTGAGTAGATGTTTTCATGCATTTTCCTCTTCCAAGAGCAAGGAAAAGAGGGAAATAAACCTGCAGAACTTTTTCTTTGCTCCTGCAGAAGAGAGACCCATGTCTGATCATCTTTAAAACTGATATAGTTATTCAAAATCTATGCGAAACTAGGGTTGCTTTTTTTGCTTAATTTTAAATGCTTGTTTAAAATTGAAGCTAAGCTACTTGATGACTTAATCCCTTACTTAGTAATTTTTATAACTCATTTTGATGTTATCTGGCAGCTTTAGTTTCAGAAAGTTTATTCTATAATATTTTGATCATTTTAATTGAAGTGTTTTCTATGTTTTTGTATAGAAATGGGTGGAGCTTCGATAATTTTATGACAATATTCGAATGATAGCATTAACTTGGATTACATTAAGTAGTCTACTATATCTCTAAGAAACATTCTCACAATTCCATTTGTTACCATTCATTTTATTACCATAAAATATTAAAGTCTTAATTGTGTCTCAAAAGACAATAAAGAACTGTTTTAAGCATGTCGACCTTTCAATAAATGATAAAATAAAAGAAGATGAAGAATTAAAACATCTTAAATTAATATGTATTATGATGAATTCAATGTGTGGACATTGATGAAAAACCTCAAGCTGCAGATTCAATAACAGAAAAAGTTATCTACCTGTCACTTCCTGAAACAAATCCAAGCACTGGACAAACTTGCTGAAGAAAATGATGATGAAATCGGCGAATTTTCTACAAATGTTGAAATGAGGAATAACCTATGAGTATTAAGATTAGGGGTAAAGCATGGGCAAACAATATCCAGAAACATTATGAACAGTTCAAAACTAAACTTTTGATTAAAATGTTGACTTCTTAATTAAAATGTTATGAAAGTAAGTATTTATATCTTTCTAGTTATATTTATGGTAAATTATTTGCATTCCATTGATATTTTGAAGGATTTTTTTAAATTGCTTAATAATATCAAAATAATTATCGACAAAGTCATCACATAAAGCGGCACCTACTGTAATAGCATTATAAGAATAAGACAAAGTATTTGATGAAAACAATAAACATTAAAAAAAGGGGGTATTGGGGAGGGCAAGGTCTTTTCATTATTTTTAGACACAACTGAAAAAAATTACCTCATCTTGAGAAAGTTCAAGTTCTTCCAATACTCGATTTAGATGGAATTCTTTAATTGGCATTTTCCTGAAAAAAAAAAAAAAAAAAAAAAAAAAAACCCAACAAATTAGTTTACTAATCTTTCCATAAAATCCTAATGATATAAAATCAGCTTAATTTAACAGGTATGGTAATAAAAAAGAGTGAAGAAAAAAGAAATAAACTTTATGCTGTTGACTTCAAAATGAAAGAGAAGCATGCTAATTAAAATGCAAAATCAGGTAAAATTTTTGTGAGTGATCTCAGAATATTAACTAAAGCTCAACTTATAAATTTTAATCATGTAAAATATGTTTAGAAATATATAAAATTATGCTCAATTTTTGAGTCAAAATTTCAAATGACTGCATATCATTATAAAAAATTATTACAGGAAAATTATGAACATTTTCAAAATTCTCATGTTTATAAAAAATTTTAATATAGCTTGTTGATAATAATTTTAAGCAGATGAATAACTTTATGTAAAGGAATCCATAGGTCAGGGCCAATGTATTTGACACATAATATTAATACATCCACAGACGATTACATCTTGACTTTTTTAATGCATTATTTTGTTACCCCAAATTATGCTTACATAACAAATTCCAAGAAAGCTTTGATTACGTGTTCTTCATAAACGATACTCAAAACTTTGCATTTTAAATGTTAATTGAATTTAATTCATACAAAATTTACACTGAAATTATATCAGGAATGGTTTTAAATGATTTATTAATTAATTATGAATATTATGGTTCTTTTAAAATTTTTAAATTGTTTTTAAAGAAAGACGGCAGAAGCCAGTCTGTTGACATGGTGGTAGGACAGTTGTCTACCATAGCCTTGGGCCTGGGTTCGAATTCCAGAGAAGACATGGATGTATATAAGGATATAACATCTTTGCAGCATGGAAAAACTTTAAATACTGTCAAATAAAAATAGCAAGATGTCATTCATAACATATTATTTGTATACATGCAAATATCATTGTATCTGAAAATAAAAAGTGACTGTTACTTATAATAAGACTATCAAGGCATTCAAATTTCATTTGTATGAATGAAATAACTGTAAAACTAGATGGTTATGTACTTGAAAAGTATGTCAATATTTGAAGAAATCTTTTAGCACTGCAATAAATCTCTCTCAGAATTGTGACATTTTTTACTGTATCTTCAAAAAAGGTATTTGTTTGGGTTCATATCTACATCTGAGTAGTTGTGATAATGCAATAATGCAACTTCAGTCTTCAAAACAGGGTCGCTATTTTGAGTTTCAGTCTGAGAACTAAATCTAGAGTATAAAGAGGATGCGGCATATGTGTGACAAATATTGTTCTCAGTTTTGTCTACAAAGCCTGAAAAAAATTAAGGATCATTTCTTCAATAACATCCTCTATTCCATGAACCAAATGCTTCTTAAATACAGTCAAAAGTCGTTAATTCGGACACCCATAATTCGGAATGATCTATAATCCGGAACTAAAAACTTTCTGCGCATGCGCCGCGTTGACACATGCGCATAGACGTTTACGCGTGCGCGTAAGACCTTTTACGACTGCGCATATGAGTGTGCGCAAGTGCAGAATACGTTTTCGCGTGCGCGTTTTATGTATAATGGACGTATAAGCTAAATAATTATCTATTTCAGTTAATGTTGATGATTGCGTTGTTCCTTAATTTTCGAATTGGATCTGGCTTATTATTTTTTGCAGACTGTAAGAGCAATTTCATAAAAGTAAGTTTAAACTTTCGATTATATCAAATAGAATTTCTGATATATATTTGTTAATATGTAAAGCATCTAAAGCGAAAGTATGTTTTGAAATCCGAAATCTGTTTATCAATTTCACGCTGCTCGGCGGTGGGCACGTAATGAATTGGAAGTTGATCTGTCAGCACTATCCTTATCTTCAGGGCAGATGTTTTTATTTTATTTGGCTTATAATTCCTTATCAAATGTAGTATTTCATCTAGATATGCTCCGTCTTTTTTATGATTTAAAACAAGTTCCTCGTCATTATAATTCGCTTCCGATAGCGAAGAAAGTGACAGAGGTTATTGAAAACGAAAAAATTTCGATTGACAAATTAGTCAGTATTCTCGACACAGCAATTATAGGACTTGAACAGCGGAACTTTGTAACTGAACAAGAGATTATGTCTGTTTAATAGAATTAAAGAGAAAGTATTATCATATGAAACGAAGCAAAACTTAAACAACTTACACTGAAAGAAATGTTTAATAAAGTAAACAAATAAATATTAAGCTTTTTCTTTTTTTGCAAATTTTGACACCCTTTAGATCATAATTGTTCTTTATTTCATAAATTACGGTTTCATACTTTTAATTTTAGAATTTCTGCATGCCATCTTACGAGATTTAAACTGATGATCTATAATCCGGAAAAATCAATAATCCGGAATCGCCGAAGTCCTGACGAGTCCGGATTAACGACTTTTGACTGTATTAGCACAGGTTCCATACATAGCTGTTAAGATAAAGTTCCAATTACATCCAAGTAATGTGTAGTAACCAAAATAGCCAAGGTCATTTATAGTCAGCCTGAAGTATCAGAGCATGAAAAATCAAACAATCCAACTCATATGTCAATGCTTTTGTACTTATTTATATATAAACAGACAGTTTGGCAAGTAAGAATTAACATTATCAGTTGACACGAAAACTTGAGTAAAGGAAGTAACTGATCCCCATTTTCTCTATTTTAATCAACTCTTAAATCATATTTTAAATAATTTTGGTAATTTTTTCACAACTGAAAAGATGAATTTATGAAAATTTGATTTGCTCATGATGAATTATCAGCATGGTTCATTCAGTTTAAATTTTTGCCCCTTCATATTAAATATCTATATATTTAACATTTACTTTAAGTATACAACATATTATAAGTATTTAGGATATGTACGGGAATGAATAATTTCTCTTTTTCTCTGTTTCACCTTTTATGGGGGCAAGAAAGGTTAGTGTTAAACTCAATACATATGCCACAGCAATACAAAAGGTACAGTAATGAGTACTAGATAAACAGTTATAAAATTCCTTTTGTATACAATGCATTTACTTGAAAATGATACTACTTTGAACATAAGATTCTCTTTAAATTCTTGGAAATATTTTAAGAAATAAAAATATAGGTATTTTCTTGAAGTAATTTCGAGAAAGAGACCGCATTCGGCGGCAAAATATTTAGCGAGTATAATAGATGCAGGCCTAAATTTAAATTGTTTAGGTTGACATAGCTATTATAATCAGTGATAATTATGCAGTACATATGAAACTTAGTTCACAAATTTAGTTTGTTTTTGAAGATAGTTTGTCATCTGAAATATTTGTAAATTGAAACAATGTTTTCCATACAAATTATTGTAAAATGACATAAGTTCCTAAAATTCAAATGATTACTTAGAAAAAAGTACTTTGTATGCAAGTCTGTAATCCAGAATCAATGGAATTCATTAAATCTAATACATACCCAATATTTAACTCAATGCTATACATGTAAAAAATAGGGAAATCTGAATTAAATTTTATAATATCTCTATGAAAAAAAGTTGATGGCATGAACAGAAAATGGTCAGGAACCAAAGGTGCAAAATGTTTATCTCTGAAAGGGATATCCTATTCCATAAAAATATTAGATAGGTGCTATCTCTTTCTCTTTCTTTCCCCCTTTCTCTTAACACTGCTTGCCTATACTTAAGAATTGCTGAACCTTGTCCCATTAAAAACTTGTCTACTGTGATTTGTTTCTATGTTTTGAAATGTTCTTAAAGCAAGACATGTCATTGTCATTAAAAATATTTAAGTTGCAGATTGCTACTGTTTTATGAATGTGATAATGTGCTATGAACCTTTGCACCTTAGCCCCATTATGCACAAATTTTGTTGATCAAATAACTAGAAACAATTTCTCTCTCATTTTCTGAAGAAATTTTCTCTACTGCATCAACTGCGGTCTCAAGTATCATTTGTTGCTGGCTTATTTGTTCATATCTTGAGGCATCATTCCTTATATAAGATATTTTTGTGTGGAAAATCGTTCGTGATCCATGGCATTCGTGACCAAGGTTCCCCTACACACAGAATAATTACTTATACAATTTATTTACATTCAAACAATGTAATTGTTTTTTACAACTTTCATTCTGCACATTCATTTACCAAAATACCTGCCTACCCAATTTTAGAACAAAAATATAGTAAAAAGATGTGGTCTTACTTTTAAATAAATACAGTATATATATATATATATATACGCACACACAGATATATATGTGTGTGTGTATGTATGTATACAATGTAAAATCCGAGATCTAGAATCATTGGAATTTTAAAGATTTCAGATCAACAGTTTAAAAATAATAAGATAACATGCAGACATGACAATATTGAGGCTTCCCTTATTTTTTAGATAAGACAGAAAAATGTGAAACCACCTCAAACACTTAGGAGCTGAAAATGTGATCATGGCCAATATCAGTACAATTGTAAAAAGCTACCTAGGGATTACATAACCAGCAGTTTTTTAAAAGTGGCATGAAGGAATTCAAGTTGTTCAAGTGGGGGAAAAAAAATCGCTTTTACAGAAAATTTGCTTCTTTTCATTCTCCATTCCTAGACCTGACAGAAAATGCATATTTTTTGGGGGGAGGGGCTTCTGATTTCCAGGTAAGGATACTGGATGTTCTGATTTCAAATTTTGTATTTATATGTATATATACCTTTTGCAACAACAAGAAAAAAAAACTAAACTTCACATCAACCTTTTGTATAAGTCACTATGAAATACTTGGTACAATAGGCAATTACAAATAATAACAGATAAACTGATGATAATCATAACTGGAGCACTCATATGAAGGCTATAAATGAAATCCATGGAAGACTGAAATTGTTTGCACTTTTGCATAGAAAAAATAAGTATCATTTGCACAGCTAAATTCTACTTTTATAGGATGCAAATATTTAAATAACACACTGTTAAGGAATTAAACATCATATCTATGAATATTAGTAAGTTAATTAAAGCACTTAAAACAAATATATATAAATTCTACACTCCAAGTTCATGAAATTAAATAATATGAATGAAGAATTTACTTAAACTGTAAGAGAAGAGGATATAGCTTATTATTAAGAGCCAATAAAAGGATATTCCTTCAGACAAAATTTTTCTTTTTTTTTCCTTAAACAATAAATTATTATTAAATAGTAAAAAATCAAAAACTAGACACTTTTGATGAAAAAGATCAGACCTTGCTTCACTAAATGTCATGTGTCTTAAAAGCACTGTTGAACCAAATGTTAACCCATCCATGTCTTCTGTAGCTGTAGCATAAACTTTCCCATCTTTAACCAAGGCTGCACACTGAGCTTCTGCTTCACAAGGAGCCTGTAAAAATTGATGCAGCAAATTAACAGAAATGCAAACAGAAGATAAATAAAGGGGAGAAGCTTTAAATAAATAATTGTTTGATGTTTTATTGGTCTAAAGTCAAGCTTTTGGGATAATTTGCTATATCCTTTGACCAGCCAGATTACAAATATTTGCATGCAATTGTCTGCACTATGTTCAAAAATTTTGTGTGTGTGTGTGTGCGTGCCTTTAAGCAAGCGGCAACAGCAGTATTACAAATGAGCATCAAAATTTAGTATCTCTAAGTGAATGGCAACAGTAATAAATATTCTAGTTCTTTCTCTGTGCAAGAAGTATGTTTTGGTTCTACATTCTGTTATGTAAAATATATTAAACTAAATATACTTTTCCACATGTACACAAAATTCTTAACATGGTATCAAAGTAGATGGTTCGGTTGATTTAAATGATTTGAGAATTATTTGTGAAGAATTACTACAAAGGAAATTGTTCTAAAAGGAATACAAGAAGTAAAATGGCGATGAATGAAAATGTAGTTAGTTCTGTTAAGAAATTAAAGGATGTTACCTCATTCCAGGCATGGAAATTTCAAATAATATAACTAAAGTCATCTAATTTGTGTAAACACAACAGGAAATGAAAATTTAATATGAAAAGCAATGAAGAAAGCCATATATTAAATTGCACTAATTCAAAAGATATATTTGATAAACTATATTCTATATCTGAAAAAGATTTTGATCAACAAAATTGTGCCTTGTTACAAGTTTTTATATTAAAAATGAAAAATGGATGGGTTGTATTCCCATATTAGCAAAATAGAAAACCTAACATATATTTATTGAAAAACAAACTCAAGAAAACATGGTAATTTCTAATATTTTGGTAATTTTACCAATTAAATATAGGGTATTTCCTCAACACTTGGAAATTAGCACCCACAAACTGTTGACAAAATGTTACCAAATTTAACAGCTAAGATTAATACAGGTGAAGTTAGAATTGAAGTATATTATATCATAACAAATTCAGTTGCATTCAATGTAAAGGGGAAAAAAAAAAAGCCTGTTTTAATTGCAAAAATGTTAGTCATATTGCTTGTAAAAGAAATTATATTATTGTATTATTGTAGTAAAATTGTATTATTGCAGTGTTATTGTAGTAAAAGAAAATCATCTGAGAAGGTGTTTCAAATGTACCAGATTTTTATGTTTGATTAATTTTTGTAGGAAAGAATTCTCACAAAACAAAGAGTTTTGTAAAATATATAAGAAAACATACACAAAACCTTTAGCTTCTTTTTATCAATCATAATGATAAAGACTGTATTTTTTCATAAGCACAAAAGTTAAAAATTAGTACTAATACTCAAGAATTATCATTTTTAAATGTAAATGAAACAACTAACAATAACATAAACAGAGTAATTAGCTTGTTGGAAAAAAAAAAAAAAAAAACTGATAAATATTTTTTGAATGATGTTTTATATATCCCAGAGCTAAGTGAGAATTTATTATCAGTATGTGCTATAATTTATTATAGTGGTGAAGCTAAATTCTTTGACAAAGAAGTAGGAAAGGAGACAGACACAGAGAGAGAAGGTGAAAAGATTTTAGAAGGATATAAAACTGAAAATGGTTCATATAATGTAATACTTTTGACAAAAATTTTAAGAATACAAATTGTTTAATTGAAAGGAAGGCATCTGAAGCTTTATTATCGCACAGAAGCCTAGGATACTTTGGTTACAACAATACAAAGAAACATGTTTTATTGTCTAATGGTATGGAAATTTCTAAGGATTGTCTAAAAGATGAGTCTGCCTACGAAATGTGTCTGCAAGCTATACAGCCTTTTAATTCTGAAATAACAAAAGCTAAGACACATTTGGAAATAATTCATATTGATCTGCGTGAACAAACTGATCCAGTAACATACAATAAGAAGAAATATTTTGAAACTTTGATGACTACATACATTTTATAATTATACATTTGGAAAAAAGCCAACATGAAACATTTAATAGAATAAAAGATTATGTAGTAAATGAAGCTAAATATAATATGAAAGTATTAAAATTAAAATGTGACAATGAAGGAGAGTTTACAAGTGAAAATTTAAAAAGTTGGTGTATAAACAAAGGAATTACTTTGGATTATAACATTTCTTTTCCCATTTCCACAGTTAAATGGGAAAAAAAAAAAAAAAAAAAAAAAAGTGAATCAAATATGGTTAAACAAGAGTCTCAGTTAAAGATTCCAAATTAGAGAAAGGGATGTGAACTTCAGCTTTACTAAGTTGTAGACTTACTTGCTAAATTACACAAATGCATTTAATACAAAAGCAGGAGAAAAGTATTTTCGGAAATATTGCATATGCTTGGGTAAATAATGCAAGTAAAAAGCTTCATTAATGAAATGAAAAGCATGCTGTTGTTGAATATGTAACAAATGGCAATAGATTATGGGACAGAAATACAAGAAAAATAAAAATACCCAGAGATTACTCAGATGTTGCATTTGATGAAAATTTATATTCAATAAATGGAGAAGACAAAAGATAAAAAAAATCTCCACTATGAAAGACGATGACTTAGAAGCTGATAATAAGATAGAAAATGAAAAATATGAAGGTGAAGAATGACTTATTAGAAACAGTGAACTGTTCACAAAGTAGATATTTTTTAGCACCAGAAAGCAATATCAAGAGAAGATAAAGAAAACAGTTACAAACTATTGAAGAAGAGGCAAAGTCTTTGATTAATAACAAGCCTGAAATATTTTGAATAAAACTGTAACAGTAAATAGGAAAATTTTTAAGCAGTAAATTGATTTTTACTGCCAAAGGGGATAGCCAGTTTAAGGTTATTGCTTATTTAGTAAAAAGAAGGAACTGAATAGAAACGTAGTATTGTTATAAGCAAAACAGCATAAAGAATATTATTTGCAAAAGCACCAAAAAAAAAAAAAAAAAAAAAAAAAAAAAAAAAAAAAGAGAAACCAAATTTTGAATAACAAGTCTTCCACCTGAATACGGGCACCTGGAAGCCCAAATCTTGAATTAGGTTTATTATCTGTTTCATATTTTTTAAACTTTACCTTTGTTGTTCTCCTAGATTTAAAAAAAAAAAAAAAAAAAAAAAAAAAAAAAAAAAAACACCTTTACTTACTACAACTGAGCTGAAAATCTCACAGGAGGAAATTACATATCACTTCTCAAATCTCTTCATTTATCACTTCTCAAATCTCTTCATTTATCTCTTCACTTCTCTTCATTTATCACTTCTCAAAGTCGACATTTTATGAAATTTATTAACGGTTACCCTATAAGCATTCCCACTCTAGTCTTTGCAACAAAAGAGGGATATGAAACGCTTTACCATCATTCTCACTTCTCACCATTATTTCTCTCTTCATCATTTTCTATCTGGTACCATTGGACTTATTACTAATGAAAACGGAATATAATGAACAATTTTGCTTTAAAAACTATAATTCAGTTTGTTTCTACGTATCTGCGTGAGAAAGTGTTTTCATCCCCGAAATCAACTTAAAGAATATGCCAATTTAAGACGTAGGTTTACCAGCATACATCCAAACACAAAACAGCTTTGAAAGAATTGGCATGATCATTTCTGGAGTACTAACATTTATTTACTTTTTAGTTAATAAAATAAACATCACAAACTCTAATAGCCTCAAATTGTTAAAAACAAATGAAAATTTTCTTCTATTAATATTATTACTTAATATCAAAATAGAATTTAATTAATTTTAACTTAAAAATAAAAGCATACTGGTAATAACAAATGCAAAAAGAATTGTTTCCAAAGAGTATAAAAATAAGATGGTCTGAGGTACATCTTTATTAATAAAAGTGGTCCTCAATAGGAAAAAGTTTGAGAAATGCTGAACTACATGAACCACATGCCTCAAAAAAGTATACAAATTAGAGTATTGAATAGTACTTTACACAAACATTACAAAACAATGAAAAGGTAAATAGTAACTTGCAGAAAATCTCTAAAATAATAAAATTTACTTCAACATAAGGAACACCCATCAGTTTTAAAAGTTTTTTGCAATCATCATTATGTTGTCGGGTTACTTTCACAAGCCTTCTGCTGAATTTATTGACATCTTCAGCTATGCCTACAGGAAAACAAAATATGAGATAAAAAAGATTTAAATCAAATTTAAATTGCGATTATATTTAGTAAAGTTAATACCTTCCTCCTCAGCTTTTTCAAGACTTTTCTGAGCTTCCTCTCGCCTTTCTTGACGTTTTTCCAACTACATGAAAAAAAAAATTTTTTTTTTTACAAAATTCTAATTACATGAAAATTTACGCAAAAATAACTTCAAATACATTTTAATTCATAAGTTTGGAATACTACTAAATAATAAAAAATATAAAAATATTTGTTTATTTATAGCTATTCTATTATAGTGTCAAAAAATAAAATGTTTCTGAAGACTCTTAACTTATACATGGTAATGTATGTTTTATCTTCAGAACATTTATTATTAAGATAATTACAGATATTATCTTACTCGTAAACTTTAAGCAAGTAATAGATTATTTTTTTTTTAGAGAGCCATGAGAAATATGTACAAAATCATTAAAACTCGTGGTACTTATTAAAAAAAGTTATAAATCTTAAATGATATAATCTAATTAATATATGATGATATGCGAGGTGCCCAAAATTGAAAATGAAATCCAACAGAAAATTTTCAACTATATGGTACAGGACTATCAATTTTTGTAACTTGCAATCATAAACATTATACAAAATTTGGAACACACTTTTATTTTGATTCAAAACAATTAACTGCTCTCCCTTATTTATGGAATACAGTTTATGGCAGTGGCAGAAAAATTTTTGCAACCTTGAGGACCAATTTGTGTGTCAAGACAAGAACTGCACAAAATGTTACATTTAGTAAATATTTTAAAATATATCCTACGAAAGTAAAAATTGGCAACTTTCTGTGGTATTAATTTCATATAATCTTTATAGTTTTAAGATAGCTAGCAATATTCAGATTCAGGGTAATAAAAGCAATTTTTTTAATCTAGTCACAGGCTACGGAAAAAAAGACCTCAAAGAATGCAGCATGCACAGAGTGTCAGATTTAAACTTGATAAGGTCCTAAGCTTTTAAGATATGGGGCCCATTATAAGTCTGTTATAATATATTTTAATACTATTTATACTATATTTTAATTTTTGGGGGGACCCTAAGCCATAGCTTGTGTAACTTATATGTAAATTTGGCTCTGAACATGCAAATCACCAGCTGACCATTACAAGTTTAGGTACTATTCAGTTTTGAGGGCCGTAAAAAATCGCCAAACTATTGTTGATGCCAATGCTGCCAAAAATAATTGTGGCAAGAAAGGAAGTATCACAGTAAATAACTATCTAAGATTGATGTTTTAATTTAAATGAAAAGTTAATTTCATGTAATACATTTTTATTATTATAATTTATATAAAAAAGGCTAAACATGACTGAATGGAAGCATAAGAGTAAATAACTATTTCAGATCATTATTATAATTTATATAAAAATTGTTAAACATAACTGAATGGATGCCTGCATCGCTATTTCGCTACCGACTTATCGCTAAAGCATAATTTCATCTCGTTGGTTGTTCAAACCATTTTCTATAATGAATGATGCCTTTTCTTTGAAAATATTCTCGGTAAAGTGCAGAATCGCTCACTTATTTGTTTGCCGCTTTTTACAAGGGTAAAAACAATTGAATTTTTGTCAATTTTCTTTTACTTTTTAAGTGAAAATAGGTCAATGTGTACATAGATAAAGTCAAGGGTGTGCGCAGTGCCATTTTTATGCAATGCTATTTTTTTTTAAGTGAAAATAGGTCAATGTGCACATGGATACCGAGTATGTGCAAATTCTTAAAAATGCGTCAAGCAGTGTGTGATTCTGAACTTTACCCAAAATTCTATTGCCGACTTTTCGTCATGGGCAATTCCCAAATTGTTAAATCCATAGGATAAAAAATAGGATATCAAAAAAGGATTTCAAATCAAAAAGGATTTAAAAATTAAACTAGTATTTCAATGGCATCTTAAGAATTTTAGAACTATATAAACCATCTGAAATCAACGCGTATTCTAGATTTGGCACACTGTTAAATAGGCGCGTTTGCTAGATTTGGGGCTTTTGCGCATACATTTTCGCTGAAATTTTTTTACGGCCCTCAAAACCGAATAGTACCCAAGTTTATAGTACTAAGATAATTACAGCTTATATGTTAACAATGTTTCCATTCAGTTTATTTTTCAAGTTTTACTTTTTTTAATGTATTTCAATGCCAGTCACATTAGCAGCTGCTTACAAAGCTATTTTAGTATCCTCTTAAATAAAAGGGGGAAAAAAAACAGAAGCATACAAAATAAGCATTTTGCAGTACTGAATATTTGCTTAAAATTTTGTATTGTGTTTAATCAAACATAAGTAATACCATATCTACTTGCGTATTTCCCCACATTTTTTACTAAATTTATCATATGAAAATTGAGAGGGAGAAATTTGTGCGAAGACTTCAAAGCATGTGATTATAATAAGAAAATAATAAATGAAAAGTATTCATAGATAAACTACTGGTAGTTACCAGTATTATTTATTTAAAAGGAATCTATATTTCAATAATGATACATAGTAGCATTAATATCAGAATATCTAGCATCTTCACTTTGAATTCCCTGTACCTTGAATCTTGTTTACTGCTCGTCTCTAGCCCTTAAATCATTTAATATTGCTGGACCTGTTGTTTGAGTCATCTGTTACATATATTGCAAATCATAGTCATGGTTGTCACTGTCTTTGTCCCCATTCAGTCTGCCTTCTTATGATCTTCCAAACCATCAAGAGTTTTAGATATCTCTGTTTTTTTTAATAAGCACTTATTGCTTCATCAATCAGAGCCCCTGCACCCAAAAAATCTAAGAGCAAATAAAGAAATAAATGACCGCTACGTGGATGAATCCACTTCAAAATTTAGGAAGCTTTAAGTTTAGTAACTTGCTTATGAATGCTTTGAAGAAGGGGGAAATTATGTGAATACTTAAAAAAATTTTCTGAATCTTCTGTTAGAAAACTTAGGGAAAATATATGCACGTAAACATGGTATCTAATTATTATGTAAAAACATTAGTTTTAGTGATACCATTAAAAATATTAAAGTATAATGAAAAATCATAATTATGTACAATATATACTAAAGAACTACTTATCATAATTGCAATTTGGGGGAGGGCATACAATAAATTTTAATCCAGATTTTTACTGATAGATTATGCTGTACCATTAATAGTGTAGAAGTGCATGAATTTAAATCTTTAAAACATGTGCAACTGAGAGCTCAGAACAGCCTGCAGTACTAATGTATTATTGCAACCACTTCAGAAGAAATTGCCAGATTTTCAGAATATGCAAACTCTGTTAACCATGTGCATAACAATTATTTATACATCCATGCGCATGACAAATATTCAATTTCCAATATGTTGCCATTTTTGTATGCATTCTTTTTGTTGTATTTCAAGTTCCAATGCATCATTTTAAAAAAATCATAACTATTTTTTTTTCTGAAACTCACTTTTGTGTTTCTGAGATTTTCTTACAATAGAAGAAACAAAAGTGAAATTTTTGCAGGAATTCACTACTTTGCCATAAAATTGCTTGGAAGGTGTATTTTAATTTTATAACAGTTATTTTTAATTTTGAAACTCTTTCCCTTCAATTCTTGTTTCCCACTTACAATTCCCTACCAGAATGAGTTTTTAGAATCACGTTGAATGCAAATTAGATTAGGTTAAGTTATTTAATTACGGCAAAGCCTCGAGGTCTATCTGCCTAAGGGGAGGGATGCCTTCGTGAAGGACGTTCTAAGGGTGTTGATGTATTTAATTAACTATGGCAAAGCACACGAGGGCTTTCTGCCTAAAGAGAGGGATGCCTTCGTGGAGGACTTTCTAAGGGGAACTGGCTCGTATACACGTTACACATGGGGAAAACCACAAAAACGCCCATGCAGCCAGCCCGTTTGCAGGATTCGAACCTCGGACCAAACTACCAGTGTTTAGCGAATTTACCGCTCGGCCGCGTTCTAAGGGAAACTGTCTCGTATACACGTTAACATGGGGAAAACCCTGAAAACGCCCATACAGCCAGCCCATTCATGGGATTCGAACCTCAGACTGAACTACCAGTGTTCAGCGATTTTACCGCTCGGCCGCTGGTGGGACGCAAATGAATTAGAAGTATTTAAAGGAAGTTCAACTTACTTTGAGAGAGTGCTTAGGAATTCTTAGTGGCACGTGTTTGCCTTCTGGCTACTTTGTTCTTGAATTTATTATGCTCGACTGTTTTGTACATGACTGTTGATAATCGCTAGCTAGTTTAATTTAAGAACCAACTACATTAGGTATTTGTGTCTAGCTTCAGCTAAGTCTATTTAGTTTAGTACTACATTAGCTTCTTATTCTCTTATCCTGATTTAAAAGCCCAGGTAGAGGCTTTCTTGTAAGCCTGAGAGAGGGCCATCTGTTATTATTTCTTTGAGTGAATAAAAGGGTATTTTAACCATTACCATGTCTCTGAAGTAACTATTGGAACTAAGCAATAATTCACTACTTAGTTCACTAGGTTCTTCAATGTTATATCTAGACAAAGTATCAAGGAACATTATAACAATACATCAAGGATGGCTAAGTCTATTTAGTTTAATATAAGATTAGTTTCTTAATTTTTCTTATCCTAATTTAAAAGCCCAAGTGGAGGCTTTCTGGTAAGCCCGAGAAGGGGCCATCTGTTATATGGAACAAAGCAATATTTTGCTTCTTAGTTCACTAGGTTTCTCGACGTTATATCTAGACACAGTACCTAATATGTTATATCTAGACAAAGTTATACGATAAAGGAACAATGCTTCAAATCTTCAAAGTGATGGCTATGAAATTTCCACCACAACAAAAACAAAAATCCATTTGTAATTAGATTTAATGATTTCTTTGGAATAAATATATAGTTAAAAAGAAATTGTTTCACAAGAAAATAGTAAAGTTAAATTAAATTTAAATAATTCTCTTGCATCATTGCTGGAAGGAATGAAATTTGAATTTAACAAATATTCTCTCATGGACATATAAAGCTAATATTAAATTTTAATTAAGAAATTTTAATTGCAAAAAAAGTATTACTGCTGTGAACTAATTTAATATATACATTTTTAACAATAAAAGTAACTGCTCTTTTTCTTCCGTACCTATCCTGCTATATTATTAGTAATTTGAAATATGTCAAGGATGGCTAAACTTCATGCCAGTAAGAGCTGCAAGCTAAAATTCAGGAAAGCTTATGAGCCACAACTAGATTCTGGTCTAGCTGGCCATCTAACACTCATGTTATGGTAGCACACATGAAAAAATGCAGTAATTCTTTGTAATTTCTTTTTGGATTGCAACAAGAGAAAACTATGAAGGAACAACTGACAAAGCATAAATATGTGATAAGCATAAATGATGATAATACAGTGCCAATTAAATTAACAAGCTACTGGAATGAATCTTGTTTTTCTTCAAAGCAACTATATACATTCAATTCATTATAAATTGCAACTATATGTATGCAAGTTGCACAAAATCAAATTTATATGCGTGTGGATTACAAAGCTAAAAATTTAGGAAATACTGTTCTAGAAAAAAGAAGGTTATCTTAAAACATCCATTAAGTGATAAATAAATACCTCAGATGATTTCATTTGCGGAGGTTTTCCATCAAAGACATATACAGGCTTAATCCCATTATCAACCATTCGAATAGTTCGATAAAACAATCCAACTAGATGACTATTAAAAAAAGGAAAAATTTTGGTTATAAATATATAACAAAGTAAAACAAATGATACTATTATTAAATTAATTCAAAATATTTATTTTTAATTGATGAAACATAAAATATCTTTCACATTATGACACGTACAGTACAAAGTCCGAGATCCAGATATCCAATACCCGAAATGATCTAAAATACGGACCCTTAAAGACACTGACAAAAAAAATTTTTTTAGGATTTTTTTTTATACTTTACACATGGGCATTTGATTTATTTTTCCCACAAGAAAACATGTAGAGAATCCTGATTCATAATTACACTTTGGCAATGAAAATACTTCGATATTGAAGAAACAATCATTTTAGCAAAAATTTGAAGGATTAATAACTTGGCCCGCACCTGCATATCTGCTTGGCATACATCTCGAACCGAAACATTCTACATAGAAACATCGTTGATTTCAAAACTACTAATATTTTATATCCCTGACGCCAATATGGCAAATCATTATTTATTATATTTTGCTTTCATCACCATATGTTTTATCAACACATGACAACTTGAGTAATGATTCATGCAGTGATGTCTAAACAATTTTTTTTTATATATTAGCAATTGAATAACAAAGAGTATGGAACCTTTTTATGTTGACATTACACTTGGCGCTGATTACAGATCTAAGTGAAATGCGCTAAATGTTGACGAGGAAAAATTTAACAAAAATTTCTTTCAATTTGCTAAAAATAGATTTTGTTAATGATACTCATAGGCCAAAAGATTACATTTAGTGATATTTGCTAAGAATAGCTGATTTCTTATTCACGTAAACCCAGAACCGGCACCAGAGTTCCTACGCCCACACCGGCTGGCAGAATTTAGGGAAGACAAAATTTTTGGAATTTAAAGAAGCACCGAGTAATAAAACTAATGGATGATAAAATTTTTATAATTTAGGGAAAGCACTGTGACATAAAATTTAGGGCGGCAGAAAATTTAGAACGTAGGAAAGCGCTTGGTAGCAGATTTTAGGACCTACAGAAACTGCATCAGGCGGCAAAATATCTAGCGTCCTCAGTGAGCTTAAGTGTATGTGGAAATTTATTTATTCAGGACTGAGGTAAACCTTAATAGCATGTGCAAGAATTAGACATAAGCAAAATAAATAAATTAATACAATTCAGACTAAATTGTCTAAAGTGCACGACAGAAGCAAGACAAAATGTAACGGAACATTTTTCTTTCATCGGCAATCTTGTGCTACGTAGCCAATAATGTATAGCGGACACTGTTAAGCTAGGCTAAAATTATGCTTTACTGATTACAAAGAATTTCAGTTAATATAACAGATTGCGCTGTTCCTAACTTTCTGATTTGATCCAGCTTATTTATTTTTGCAGGCTGTTCCTAACTTTCTGATTTGATCCAGCTTATTAATTTTTGCAAGCTGTTATACTTACAGCAATTTTATGAAAACTTAAGTTTGAACTTTTGATTCTGTTGAAAAAATTTCCAATTCTGGAGCTGCAACAGGAACTGCAAAACGAAAGCATGTTTTGATATCCATTAAAAAGTGTAATTGCTGCAGAAAATAAATATAGGTATATCTGTCTAAAAATTATGCAAGGAGGATGGCATTTGAAAGTCAACTGTTTATGACATAACAGGAAAAGGAGCTTTTATGAGTTTTTGTGGATTCCGAAACCCCACTCGCAATGAATAACAGAAAAATTATTTGCTATGCTAAAAGAAACAGAAAAATTATTTGCTAGACGATCATGACAAAATAATGATTGAATGGTCAGACAGAGACACAGCGAGAGCAAGCCATTGGCGAGTCCAATGCTAATGGCTCAAAAAAAAATATTTCATGAAGAAATTAACTTAAGCACTGCACATGCATATTCGACAGATTCATTAACCAAATTTTAAAATCACTATGATATAATGCAATTACAAATTTCTGGTAAAAAGCTTCAGTTAATACTGAAGCTGCTGAACTATTTGCAGATGAATTTGTTGAAATCATTGATAGTGACATGTTATCTTCAGGACAAATTTACAATGCTGATGAAATTGGTCTTTTCTGCAATATGTACCCGAAATACCTTGGCAATTTTTACAGAAAAGGCTTCAATTGGTGTCAAAGAAGAAAAAAGCTAGAGTTACAATTTTAGCATGTGCGCAGGAACGCACAAGTGTAAACTTTTCGTAATTTGAAAAAATACACAACCTTGAGCATTTAAAGAAATAAAGATTTTCCCATTATATAGCATGAAAATAAAAGAGCATAGATGACACAAGCATTAATGTATGATTGGTTTGAAAAACATTTCATGCCCAAGACTCGGCAACATTTGAATTCGGTTGGTTTAATGATGACAGAATAATTGTCCTAATTGTAGATAACTCTTCGGCTTCAAAAATTTCATTTAAATTTTTAATGAAAGATAATGTATCCATGTTACTTTACCTCCAAACTGTACGACCATCATTCAGCCTATAGATATCAGATTAGTCCATGCACTGAAATGCAAATATAAAGTAGCGTTTTTAAAATCCATGTTAAATTTCTTTAATAATGCAAGCCCATTCAAGAATTTTTTTAATATTTTAACATCAAATCTGCTGTGAAGAATGTACCTTCAAATACTTTAAAAAGTGCTTGGTATAATTTATGGCCAGCTAACCATACTTCATGGAGAGGATGATGAAGATGACAGTCAGATGAAATTGAAGGCTTTCGGGTATCGCAATAGTGAAGAAAGTGACAGAGCTGTTAATGAAAATGAAAAAATTTGGATTGACAAGCTAGTAGAATTCTCAACACAGCAACCACAGGACTTGAACAGTGGAACATGTAACTGAACAAGAAATATTTTCTGTCTACAGAATTGAAGAGAAAGTATTAGCCCAAAAAATTTAAACAATTTACATTCAAAAAAATATTGGTACTTGCATACTATGAGGACTACCCAGATATCTTGCCAAAACTGGCGACCCTTGGAGGTTATACAGGTTAATCCTAACATAGGTTATAGAGGACGATAAAATAAAGAGTATTATCCTGCACTTGCTATTACCAGACCTTTGTTTTGCTACATTTACACAGATTGTTATGTTTAGATTAAACACGTGAAACTTTTTGCAATTATTTCCTATTTAGCTGAATTTATTTGGCAGGAAAAACAGGAAACGCCTTGCTATGCTATTTTGAAAGCTCTTTTCTGCCCCTTTCCTCACTAATTAACTTCAAAGTTTTTTTTAACCAGTTTTAAGTTAATTTTATTTTTTTAAATTCGTATTTAGTATATAGTTTATATATATGTACGTGTATATATATATGTTTATTTATAATATGTATATATATTCAGGATTTTCAGTTTTCAAGTTTTTGTTCCTTTATAATTAGGGTTTTTATTTTTAAAAGAATTTATAAACATAAACCAAAAAACGCCAATAAAGATTTTTATCGGCAAATGTTGCCAAGGTAGTCGTCATAGTGTGCAAGTACCGAAATATTTAATAAACAGATAAATATTAAGCTTTTTTTTTGTAAATTTTGATACCTTTTAGATCATAAATGCTTCATTATTTCATAAATCATGATTTCACAGTTTTAATTTTATAATTTCTAAATGCCTTCTTACTAGATTTAAATTTATGATCTAATGTCCAAAAAAATCCGAAATTCGGAATTACCGAAGTTCCGACGAGCCCGGATCTCGGACTTTGTGCTGCATAAAAACAGAAGACAAAAACACTAAGTGAAACTTAACCCTGAGTTTGGCAGAGAGTTACGTCGCGATCTTAATTGATTTTGAGGGCAAACAGATACAGGTGTTTCTTTGCCAGGAGCAAAGAAATCTGTGAGCATGTAAAACAGTGGATGCAATGGCCATATTTATACTCCACAATAAAGCGGACGAGAAGGTAGCACCATCTATTGGCAAAAATATTAAGGAAATTGAAAAATTAAGTTAATACAATTTTAAAAGCATTAGGAAGGACTGGATTGGACTTAAAGGCATTAACTAAACAAGATAAATCTTCGTGAACATGAAAAGCTTAAATCCAATTCACTAATCGAAGAAGCTTTCTGAATGATATTTGCAGACCCCAAGTAAAAATTCTGATTAAATTTCCAACAATGATTAGCTATCAAAGATTTGTTCATTTTGCCTTTTCGGAAAAAGATTCGTGTTCCTTGATACAAAACTTTTATCACTCTTTTAGTTTAGCTGATATATCTCAAATCACAATTACATGATGCACTATAAATTCCCAAAAAATTTAAGTTATAAATGGAATCTTTAAGAGACGAATCATGGATTTTACTGATAGGCAAGAAAATGACTTGAAAATTAAACTTCCTAAAGAACCTGTGTAATTTCATAACTGACAGAAGGATGAAATGTAAGCACGACAAGATTATTAATGTTATTTCTAACAGTAGAATGTCTTTTTTGATGGTAAGAGGAAAATTTTTTAAAGGCTTTATCAATGACCATATGGGAGAAAATCCTTGGAAACTGATCTCAAATTATTGAGTTTACTAGCAAGCAGAAGTTCTGAGGAGTGAGTTTGTTGAAAACTGTCTGTTTATGTCAAAAGTATCCAACTCCTCACTGCTTCTCAAGAAGAGGAATCTGTGTCTAATCACTATAGAAATCAATATATTCAAAATCTTTGCCACACAAAAGCTACGTTTCTGACTAATTTTAAATCTTTTAGTGGCCTATTTCTCTTTCAACATAATTTATATTTCAGTATATAGCGCCCAACACTTTTTTACTTACTTGCGTAATACTGGAGTAATGCACTTACAGCAAAGCACTGTCTAATAAATTAAGAAAATGACAATTTGTGGGAAGTTCCTTATTATTCAGTTAATTCAAAAAAGTAATTACAGTAGAGCTCATTATATTATCCATATCTTTCTGAATTTGCATGCTATTCATTTATAATTTCTATATAATTTGTCTTGTATGCTTGGCTACCAAATATGAAAGAAAAAGGTGATATATTTCATACATGCATAGTTAAAAATTATTTCTTTAAATGCCCATAGCTCATTGAATGTTCGTTTTCTTTTCAAATTTCAGTTTAAGGTTTTTCTTGAATGCTGTCATATTTTCTGTAAATTTTGCTTAATTTGATCGAAACTTCTACAGGTTACAAGCAAAAAAAAGAGGAAAAAATTAATATCTTTAAAACTTTGTTGATATATGTATATTATTTTTAAAAACATGCATATGAACATTGTGCATAGCATGTAAAATGTTTGTAAAAGTTAAATTTGTTTTATGGTTGGTATGATCAAAAAATTTTTTTTAATAATTTTATTGCTGGTTCCTTAAATGCACTCGAGATTTAATTTTCAACGAGAAGTGCAAGTTCAAGCATGTTATTTATTTGGTCACAATTACAGAATAATTCGTTAACTATTTCTGTTGAAATTTAAAAAGATATCTAAAGTCAAAAGTAATTTATGACTTTTGGTTGATAAAATTATGAGTACATGTGAAAAATATAGGCTTACATGCTAAGTGAAACTTATTTGTGACATACTGATAAAAGAACAAATAGCTTTTTCTTTATTAATTTCTGCATATATTTGAAAACAATTACTTTTGATACCAATTTACTTTTATGGCAATTTTTAGGAATTTTCGATTAATTATACAATAAAGCTAGACATAAATTATTGCTTATTATTCTTTTAATTATTGCATATCTGTATTTATAGCTATCTATCTATTTACACTTAAGTAAAAAAATAAATCAGACTTCCCAATAACAACAACAAACAAAACAATAAATAATCAACAGAGTGAAACTTCAATAAACTGCAATTAGACACATATAAAAAAAATTGAGCAACCAAAACAATTAACATATTTCAAATTTTAATTTTCAACATTCAGTTAGATTTATAAAGTTTATGTAAGCAAAATTTATACACTTATACTATAAAGCAGATCTTAATCACATGCCTTGTCGTTTCACCTTCACTGTTTGTCAGCATGTTAGCTTCTTGGCGAATTGCTATGAGGAACTGATATATGCTCATAGAAGCATCCACAGCTATTTTGCGACCTATAACAAAATGATACATTGAATGATTTGAAATAAGCCCCATTATTACTCTGTCATTAACAAAAGAATTTAAAATAACCGTTATTCATAAAAATAAAGAATAAACATTAATTATGCATTTTTTCCATTGACTAACATATTTAACATAATATTTGAACTGCTTAAACAGCTGAAGTTTAAATACTTAAATTAGCTGCCCTGAAGAAAATTCTTTATAAAAGATGCTTTTATTTGAAACTAATAAAATAATTTCTGGTAAAGTTTCAAGGAAAGATGAGAAATAATTCACTTTACAAAATTAATCTAAATTACATATTCAGAAATAATAAATGAGTGGGGCTCACTTGATAAATTTATCAAGGTAATGGCTAGTACTTTTGACAATGGAATTTGATTATTCAGTTTCCTTAGTTAGGTTTCTATGCTTTTGGCTAATCTTTGGAATATGGTAACAGGTAGTTTGGCGACATTTTGGTAAGGCAATAAAGGTTACTAGCTAGGACTTTAGCAGTGTACATGGATAAAGTCAAGAGTGTGTGCAATGCCATTTTTGTACAATTCTGGGATTTTTTTTTTAAGTGAAAATAGGTTGGACGTGTACATGGATACCGTGTATGTGCAATTCTTAAAAACGCGGCAAGCAGTTTGCGATTCTGCACTTTCTACCAATTTCGCACCTAATCTTCGTCATGATAAAGCACTTTTGTTCCATAAAAGTTCTAGCATAAGCGTAATTTGGTTAGCAGATTGTTGGAAAAAATGTTAAGTAAAAAAAAAAAAAATGCCTTTACTTCGTGAAAACAAAATGTCGTCCAAACAAAAACTAGCAGCTTGCTGTAGCAGGGGTGGTCGCCAATTTACCATAATCCAAAGATTAACCATGCGTTTATTATTTCTGATTTAAAATTATAAACAAATTTTATAAAAAGAAATAATTTCCTATTAACCCTCCATCTGATCAAGGGTTTCACTAATAATCCTCAGATTTGCCAAAATAGGCATGAGGCTTTTGTTTTTTTATTTTAATATACGATGTCCCCAGTATTTCATACCTGAATTTATATATACTTTTAATACATTGCCCCTTAATTTCTTGGACACATTTTTCAGATGTATGTATATGCACTTTCTTGAAAATACACTGCCCTCCAAAAGTTAAGGAACAACATGTTTTTGGTGTTTAATTTGAGAATGAAGCAACATAGAAACAAAAATTTTGGTAGGCATTTTCATTTAGTCTTTAATAAATGTGACGTAAAATGCTTCTTAAGATCAACACAAACATGAATTACAACAAAAAATTGCATTCTTGGCAGAGAAATACAGTCTTGAAGAAATGGTTTCTTCGTAAAACTGTGATGGTAAAATTACAAAACTGGGTTCTAATAAGGAATAAGTTCAAATCCCGAGGGAAGCAAGCGCTGTAACTGACTGGATTCTAGACGACAAAGTGCAAGATTTCCTGAGAAATATCGTTATGCTCATTGAAAAAATTCGCAATGCAAGGACTGTTGCTGATAAACTTTCTGCAGGCTTCTGAGCTGTCACGTACATGATGAAAATTGTGAAAGACGAAAACTGATGTGTTCTGAAAATGTCACCTCTTCCTTAATTTCTTGAACGCTTTCCCAACACTTAGTCCATCTTCGATGCTTCTTGTCATCACAAAATTTATTCTACTCATCAAAATACATTCGAGTTCATCACCAGGTTATTTTTTGGTCATAATTCAAAACTTTCAACTGTTCTACAAGGGTTAGAGCCTCCGGCCCAGGTATCCTGGTGTACCGAAGCATCATTCCACTGAGGAATAAGTTCACCCTTAGCTGCGATACATTGGCGGCAGCAATGTTCCATGCTGTCAATTAAGTTGTCGGTCAGTGAAAAGGGAAGCAATAACCAAACACAGAGTAATCCATGTTTAAGGTCATCTAACACCTTGGAGGAGGATTTAAAGCAGCAACCTGTCTCCCTAGGTAGTCCCAAAGATCCTTTATTGGATTCAGGTCTGGGAATTGAACTGGCCATTCCACCTGCTCCATACCGTGACCCTAAAAATATTCTTCATCAATCCAAGCTCAATGTGGTCGTACGTTGTTGTCCATCAGAAGAAATCCAGGACCAACAGCAGTGGCATATGGGTGGATATATTGATCAAGGATCTCGTCTCGATATCTCACACCAGTCAAAATTCCTTCATGGAACACACGCAGGTCAGTGTGACCACCGAGAGATATCCCAGCCCAAACCATTATTCCACCACTTCTGTAATCTTCTGTATCATTTCACAACATGGGACTGGTTGTATCTGGTGTGTTGTTCCCTCTAGGTCGCCTGACTACCTGAATTACTCTCCCATGTGAACGTGAAGAGAACAGAAACCTATTGCTGAGTGGTCCCGGCGACGTGGTCTCCTGCAGAACATGAATGGGCAGCTCTGTGTCCTCGGGGCAAGAGAAAACAAACAATCAGTCAGCTAACATACAGGCCTGTATTGTGCAGGTATCTGTGCACTGTAGTAGCTGAGATTCTTGTTTCTTTGACTACTAAATGATCTGTTATGAGCTTAAGCACAGTAATGTTGATCCTCTTTCGAGCCGAAAGAGCTAAATAATGGTCTCACGCAGGTGTTGTAACTCTTGGTTTGCCTGGAACATGTCTTCTAGGCACAGAATCCTCGAATTCAAACTGATTCCATAGTCGCTGGACTACACTGTGAAAGACATTGAGAATTCTAGGAGCATCAGCTAGTGACATCACCATTTCCATCGATCCAATCAACGACTTCCTCGACAAATCGGGCAAATGACTTCTTTTGGACATTGTTAACGAAATTGCTAATAACAATTAACTATTGTTTTTGCATAGATTTTTTTAAACTTTGTTACTATCATGCATATAAATTGTGAATTTAAATGCTACTGACATTTTTGTAATGATGAGCTTTGAAAACATGCTGTTCCTTAACTTTTGGTGGGCAGGATATTATAAAAAATATTCTAAGACAAATATACACTGCTCGACATTGAAAATGCAACACCAAGAAGGAGTGGTCAGAAAGTGATGAAATTTGGAAAAACGAGAGACAGCAAGCAGCAATAAGTGATCTTTATTTCAATATGATAGTCAGAATACAGAGCAAGAACGGCATCGGCTCAGTAGGATGTAGGACCACCGCGGACAGCGATGCACGAAGAAACACGTCTAGGCATAGAGTCAATAAAAGTGTGGATGGTGTCCTGAGGGATGGCTCTTCATTCCCTTTCAATCATTTGCCACAGTTCGTCTTCTGAACGAGACATGGGCAGAGTCTGCAAACGGCGTCCAATCACATCCCACACATGTTTGATTGGTGACAGGTCTGGAGAGTACGGTGGTCAGGGAAGCATCTGTATACCTTGCACAGCATGTTGGCAGATGCGAGCACTGTGTGGTCGGGCGTTATACTGCTGAAAAATTGCATTAGGCAGCCCCTGAAGGTAGGCGATTGCCACCGGCCGCAGTACATTATCCAAGTATCGTTGGGCCGTCATAGTGCCCTGAATACGAACTAGAGGTGACCTGGAATCGTAGGCAATAGCGCCCCAAACCATTATGCCACATTGTTGCGCGGTGGGACATTCCACAGTTACTGCCGGATTAGATCTGTCTCCACGTCGACGCCACACACATATGCTGCGACTGTCACTGGATAAACAGAAGCGCGACTCATCTGAGAACATGACGTTTTGCCATTCTGTCACCATTTTAAACGTTGGCGTCTATGCTGTGGGGTCAATGGCAGTCTTCTTAACGGACACCATGAGTGCAGGCCACATTCAACCTATCGACGGGAAATGATCCTGGTCAACATGTGAACATCCAGGATATCTTGCAGATGCTATAGAATCGCAGTACTAATGACTTGTGGACCGCCACTGCTTGTCGGCGGATGCGTCGATCCAAGCATGCTGACGACACTCTGGCTGCACCTGCACCCATCCTTCTTCCCACATTTCCTTGTTTCAACCATGTTTGCCATGGCCGATGCACCGTGCTCACATCCATGTGGGTATCAGCTGCGATTTGACCTAAGGACCGACCCGCCCTTCTCAGTCCGATCACAATACCCCTCTTAAAATAGTCTATCTGCTAGAAGTGCCTTCGTTGATGGCGGCCTGACATTCTCTCCTATTACACGTATCCTCCGGGACAAAAACCAACTTTCTTCGATAATTTGTCTGGCAGAAATAATGACACGAATGTTGACCACTCTGCACGTTCCTTCCCTTATATCTTATTTCACATGCGTCGGAGAGTTGTGCATTTCACATCATTCGCATAACTCAGTGATGTGTGTCTACTCTAAAATTTGCATAAATTTCTGACCACTCCTTCTTGGTGTTGCATTTTCAATGTCGAGCAGTGTATAAAGCCTGGCTAATTAGAGGGTTAAACTATATGATGAATTATTTTCGTCCTCTCAGTTTATTAAAAGGAGATTTCATGATTTTTAAATAAAAGCTTATTTTATAAAAACTTTTTGTCTAATTTTTGGAATATGGTAACAGGTAGTTTGGCAACATTTTGGTAAGGCGATAAAGGTTACTAGCTAGGACTTTAGCAGTGTACATGGATAAAGTCAAGAGTGTGCGCAATGCCATTTTTTGGCCATTCTAGGATGTTAAGTTAAAATAGGTCGACGTGTACATGGATACCGTGTATGTGCAATTCTTAAAAACGTGGTAAGCAGTGGGCGATTCTGCACTTTCTCCCAATTTCGCACGTAATCTTCGTCATGATTAAGAACTTTTGTTCCATGAAAGTTCTAGCGGTTGATCTTTGGATTATGGTAACATGGCGACTTTTTGGCGAACAACTCTGCTACAGCAAACCTCTATTTTTTTCCCCCGCCGCCATTTTGTCTTCACGAAGTAAAGACATGTTTCTTTTCTTTTCATTTACTCAACACTTTTTCCAACAATCTACTAGCCGAATTACACTTATGCTAGAAATTTTGG